CCCCGAGTGCGCAGGATCTTCTCTCAAACTGTTCGAGACCGGGAAGGGCGTGCTCTGTGTGTTTGTTGCCCTGTGCCCACTTGTGAAGAAGTTGCGAGAACTCCACACTAGGTGAATATTGGTGACACGCGACAGAACGATCTCGCAGCACGCATCGGTCTCTCGTCACGCAACGGTGGCGTGAGCTTCACGAAATTAATTTGTCTTTTTACTGGGATGAATATGCCGCCGCCGACCTGTCTGAAGACGTCCCAGAAAGTTGCCGCAAAGGTACACAATGCAGCCATGGCAGCTGCCGGCAATGTGATGAAGACCATTGCGCAGTCGGTGCAAAAAACGGAGAAAGCCAAAGACGGGGAACGCCTAGACGTGTGCGTCACGTACGATGGAACCTGGCATAAACGCGCTCACACGTCCGACTTCGGTGTTGGTGTCGCGATTAAAGTTATAAGTGGTCTTGTGCTGGACTACACCGTCCACAGCAACTACTGCCAGCTGTGCACCCAGGGACCAAAGCCAGGCATAGAGTGGTACATGGAATGGATGGAAGACCCCCGACCCAACTGACAGAAGAACTAAATGGGTCTGCCGGTGCCATGGAAGTGGAGGCAGCCACTGTTATTTTTGGTTCAGTCGAAAAACACGGTATGCAGTACACCACTATGCTGTGTGATGGCGACAGCAAGGTTTCTTCCAAGGTAGCTGGTCCTAAGCTTTACGACAAGGAAATCAAAAAAGAGGACTGCGTCAACCATGTCGCGAAACGTATGTATGCGGGTCTAGAAGCTCTGAAGAAGGCAAAGAAGGGACTAAGTGGGAAAGGGAAGCTGATAAACCTGAAAATGAAGCAGCTTACCAACTACTATTCCTGATTGCAAGCCTTTTGCACTCCTACTTCACTGACGAGGAGACGAGGCATGTAGGTTGCCCCACTGGCACGGACTCCTGGTGCCACTATAATCAGAGCAAGGCCCTCGAGCCAGCGGGAGTATCACCTGCGTTCCCGCCACACAAGCCAGCCTTCTCCAAGGAAATCGCAAGGGAGATGGTACCCTTGTACAGTCTCCTGTCACAGAGGGATCTGCTGGAGAGGTGTTCCCGGATGAAGACGCAAAACAACAATGAGAGCCTCAGTACCTTGGTGTGGAAGAGGTGCCCCAAGGTGGAGTTCGCCTTCCTCAAGACTGTGGAGTATGCCGTGGCCTTTGCAGTCCTTGAGTTCAACCTGGGGCCTCAAGGGATCGAGCAAGCTGTTGGAAATGATCATCCAGCCAGGGAGCTACCAAGCATCATACGGAGAGAGGGCCACCAAGATGAAGGTTGCGAAGGCCCAAGTGAAAGAGCTCGAGCCCTCCAAGATGTCCCCACAAAAAAAGGAAGATGGAAGCTGTGGCCAAGGCACAGAGGGACCGTGCAGAGGAAGGAGTGACATATGCCCCTGGAGCATTTTAGATGAAATGGCAAGCCCCATCTAAAGCAAAAACACTGTTTGAACTTTCAAACGCGTTTTTCTCGGCTTTATGTTTTCACCATCTTTTCAGAGCTCTAAAACTATCGTTCGATGAATTAAGCGCCGCCATGTTTAATGCATGGCTTTTCTGGCGTGAAATTTACTGGAGAACTCAGCTATGCACTTATTTTTTGCAAATTTTTATTTGTTCACACAGAAATGTTGACGTTTGTGAAACAAGAAAAAAATAAAAAAATTTATACCATCATTGAAAGTTACTTTTTACAAGACATATGACCTTAAAAATTATTTCAAGCCTACTACCGATCAGTTTAGTTATTCAGTGTTATATCCCAACAAAGAAATTGTGCTATTTTATTTATACTTCGAAATTAGTTTTTTTTTCCTTGGACACCGCTACATGTGCATTTTGTTAAATAAATAAGGCTGTAACTTGTGAAAAAATAGACTTTTTGAGTTTGAGAGTTGGTGTAGCCTCCCAAGTTTTGATGTTTAACACACATAAAAATTTCATTGACCTGGCACAAATACTTAAAAAGTAGACCCTCCAGGGGAGTGCCTCGCCTTAACTCGACACCTGTCACATCCACCAATGATCTAACACTGCTTCTGCCCATCAGAGGCATAAGCCCTTACAAGCAACTACGGGAAGATCTTTGCAAGGTTCAAGAATGGTCCGTGACAAACTAACTGCCCCTCAAGACGGCAAATGCTCCGTGATGCTAGTCACCACCACCCGACAGCCCCTGCCCCCTCTAGACTTTACTATCAGTGACACCCCAATCACAAGGACGCAGCGAACGAAGCTTTTGGGGATCACGCTATATCTGCATCTTCATTCCTCCTATCACATTAGCGAGGTGCTTTCTAGGGTACAAAGCGCACTGGGCTTCGTGCAGCGTGTATCAAGGGGTACTGGCCTGAAGGCGCTGTGAAGTTTGTACACTGCACTGGTGCTTCCGCAGCTTAAGTACTGCTCGTCTGTATGAAGCCCAGCCAGGTCTCTGTGATTGTTTTTTTAGAAAGCGTACAACGGCAAGCTGCCTATGGTACCTTGCGCTGCCAGTCACCGTCGCAGCTCCCACGACACAAGGATATGGACACCTCCGAACTTCTCGGAGGTTTGGGGTGGAACCGCCTGTCTCTACGTAGACAGGTGGCCTTGCTTCGCTTCCTAGCCTGCGTGCTTAACCACCCTCTCGCGCACCTTCGGGACTATGTGAGAAAGAATCGCTCTGGCAGACTACAACCACTCCTTGGACGAACAGAACATCAGAAAAGTAGGCTCTTCCCTAGAGCCACCGAGCTCTGGTGCTCCCTCTCAAGCGGAGTTACGCAAGGGCCTTTTGAAGAAAAAGAGCACATAAAGGAATTCTGCAAGTGTGCAACCCTCAACCTAGAATAACTGAATCCCGGACAAAACAAAAGCTCACCGGACAGAAGCTCACCAGACAAAAGCTCACACTTTTTCACAGACCCGGACAAAAGCTCACCAGGAAAAATTTCATGTTGGTCTTAACACAAATGCAGACAACTTAGGTGCATGCATGCTACACTAAAATGCAACAACAAATTAAATCTGACAGGTGCATGGTTTGTTGATTAGAGTAGAAACAAGTGTATTTATCGATTGGTTAGAAGCGAATGCAGTTTCCTACTAGCTCCAGCAGTCTTGGTAGGTCTCAATGTAACTTCAAGCCCTCGCAGATATTTTTAAGACGATTCTGCAGGCGCAGAGTGGCGTTTTGCACCAGCTTTAATGGGGGCTCATTTCTCCGGGCTTGTGTCAATGCCATGGCAACGAGCGCCTGATTCCGCAGTAGGCATTCAATCAGCCTCTAGACGCTTCAAAGGGCATGGCCAACAAGCTTCTGGAACCTGGCATTTCATCCTTTGCAGGTGTTGTTTGTGCGGTGTTTATGTTGAGTAATGACGTCGTACATGTTCTACCGTTCTGGGGGAAACTCCGGTCGTCATCGGTGCAGTCAGGCAAAGTGAAGAATTCTCTCTGGGTGTCACTGCAGAAGGAACGAAAGCAAGACGTAAGGGGCCGTTGACATACGTGCAATCGAAGTAGTCCAGCAAGTAGCCGATGTCACCGGTAGACGTTTCCCTGATGTAGATTAGTCCTTCAGGAACAAGCTGTGGTGGAAGGAACGCTAGCCTATCGAAAAACCCGCACAGCTTTCTAAATTGGTCATCTGGCTTGTAAATTTCCAATAAGCCCTATTCCCACTCCTTCAAAATATATTTTTTTGTTTTAATTCGCCACTCAGTAGTGTGTATATTAAAGTTTTGCTTCAATTTTCCTTTCAGATTACCATAAGATAATCCTCCATTTCAAATACATTTACTATGCACAATGACAGAAACAATTTATTTGCTTAGCCATTCACTTTAAATATTACCCTGAACCCCAAGGAAACCCATGCATTAATAATGAAGAGACATTATGCCTAACTTTTATCTGCGCGTTTAGCGTGACATAAGCACAGTGAAAAAGCGAGGTCACCGAGGGTGACTTCGCTTCTTCGGTCACCTTCGGGTTCAAAAACTTTGGTTCACGAAGTTTGTTGAGCGTGGCGCAAGAGTGCTCCAGCGTACCTTGAATCAAGCAAGCTTGATCTTATCAGCTTCATTCAGTTTCAGTGACCTAAACCTGCGTCCCAAATCGTTGCTTCTGAGCTTGTCATGGCTTATCTGTCAACACCTTCGCATGAGATGGGGTACAAGTTGTCCTAACACTGGTGCAATCTCCATCGCGTCCGCGCTTTATCCCAGCCTATGTTTCGCCCGGGTAGCAAAAAGAAAAAAAAGGAAAAAAAAAAAAGAGGTGAGCTTTTGTCTGGGTTTGTGAAAAAACGTGTGAGCTTTTGTCCGGTTACCAAAATAACTATGATGAGACATTCAGACCTTAATCCAGCGTTAATCCAGTGTACTGTACACTTTCAGTGTGATTTACTATTTATTTTATTTATCTTACTGGCGGGTACAGTGAGCCTCTATGGCACGGGCAAAGACCTTTTCACTGTTCATCCGGGTTTTATAATCGGAATAATACGGAATGCTGGCGACCATGCTTTTTGCACGGCCGGTCGTTCAGTGGATTTCGCAAACCGGGTAGAATATATCACTCACCCACATTTGTAGTTCAAGCGCCGATAGAACCCTTGTGCTGTCCCATCTGCGCTGCTTTTCTTTTTTGTGTTGCATGGAAACCCTTCGCGCACTTTGTTCATGAATTAGCGGTTCACCTAGACCCGCCATTCGGCCGGCTGGCCTCGGCCCAACGTTGCCTCGGCCGCTCGGCTGGCTCGGCTAGACCCGGCTAGACGGAAGTTAACTATTTTAGTGATTACCGCAAAGTTTGTGATCAACGTGAATACAGCAACAAAAATATTGTATTTTTAGACTTTTATATTAATAAAATATTTTCGTTGAGCGGTCTATTTACCACCTTAGCTTCTCACTAAAATCGAAGAGTGTGATGTGATTACCACAGGGAGATTGGATTACCATGACCATCAGTCACCAGTGTCATGGCGTCGCCCAGGCTTTCGTGTTTTGCGTGTTTTGCGTTCGCATGTGCGCTTCTTCAGTAGCGGTCTAAAAGAGATTCACTGTAAACAGCCCCAAAATACTTACGGTAAAAGAAAAGTCATACCTTTCAAGGTAACCATTTTGTTCATGTTATAGTGTCTTACTAGTAGATACGTTTTCATTGCAGCATGCTTGCGAGGTTCCTTCGCGCTCAAAAAACTCGAGGTAATCGTGTCTGTTTTTTTTTTTTTTTTTTTTTTTTTCTTTTCCTCGCTTTTACGTATCCCGAATTTAGAAAGGCAAACTCTCAATGCCGCTGCGTAGAGAAAATAACCGTCCGAGCCTTTTGCAGTTATGTTTTACTTCGACTTCAACAATAACGTTTATGCCCTCCAGCCGGTGGCGTGTGCTGTGTGATGGAGCCGATGGGGGGTCACGCAACGGATCAAATAATGGACCTTTTCCAGAGCCGTTTATTGAGAGAGTTTGGCCATACATTGGTTTGAATAGGCGAGCATCTCGGGGCCAACCACAGGCCGCGAAACAGCCCCTAGCGGTGGTCGTGTGCTCTAAGTTTGTGACACGACGAATTTGAGCCGTTTTAGCGTCGCTAGAGTGAGAAGGTTTAGCTCTCGGTGACTGAAAACTTTGTGCGTGTGAGGTTTCAGTCACGCCAATATTGAAGTGTAGAATAAACGAACGTGCGTTCCAAACCAGGGCCGACTTGCTAGAAACAGCGTTTCAGCCGAGACGGGGAAAAAAAGCACTGCCAAAGCCAGCGCACGAGCCGAGCGGGACTCCGCGTCTCAAAACGCTCGCGCGCCCCACCAGTTTTTTTTTTTTTTTTTTTTTTTTTTTTTTAAGCCAGCCTCAGCTTAGACGCTGTTCTAGCAAGCCGGCCCAGAGCGAACTGTCACCTATATTCCATCTGCACAAACATCAACAGTGCAGACAAAGGCATGGGCACGAGCCCGTGGCTTTGGAAAGTGCCTCCTATGCACGAGTTCTAGTACAAACAAAAGCCTTTTGCTGAGCTAGGCTCGCACGCCTGTGCCTTTGTCTTTACTGCAGACATTTGTGAGATGGAGTAGAGAGGCCGAGATTGAACGCTTCTATTGCACGCTTTAAATACCGTTTGCAATATTGTGACGTCGCAATCTCCTGATTGGTCGACGCTGTGTCACAAATTTAGTTTACGCTCTAAGCGCGGGGGGAATATTCGGCGCTGGCGGCGGCCTTTGCTCCGCCTATTGGCCAAACTCTCCCAATACACGGCTCTGACCTTTTCCACATACCGACGGCACCAGGCGGCGGCTGCACGAACTAAAAATTGAGGAAGTGACCTACCTGCGCTACCAATCGATAATAGGAGCTACGCTACCAGTTTCTTCGCTCTCTGAGCAGCGGCGCCTGCCCAACGCGACTTTAAAGAAGGGGAGCATACGTGGCGTCCACCCAAACGTCGTGTTTTCCTTTCCGTCGACGTTCTTTTTTTGTGTAACACAATTATATGTATGCTGCAGTTACGTGTTCTACTCGCTGATATACAGCCTCCTTCCGAATTTCCTCGATTTTTCGTTCTGACTTCCGCCGCTTTACATCGGGGGCACGCGCGTGCGCAGAACGCTTCTCGGAAAAGGTCCATTGAGAATGTGTAGTGTTTTCTTATAAAATTATGTCGGTGAAAAAGCATGCCTTTAAGAGAAGGGGCAAAGCCGCCAGGCCGTGCGGCCCAGTCGCTCTCGAAATTCTAATTCCAAAGGAAGTCACGCCACTCCGCCTCTCCAAGTTCACCGCGAAATTTGCCGCGGCCTGTTGTCCGACATGTGAAACGAAGAAAGACGGATTCAATGCAAAGGTTGCAGCTGGGAATCCGTGACTTGCATTTGAGATCACATCAGCTGCGTTTTTGATGGTTTTGCTTCCCGGTGCGTATCTTCTGCAGCATTATAGTTCAGTAACGTCACGTGTAAGCCACACGTTGACTCCGTAACTGTGCTGTGTGTATGTTTAGGCAGCGGGAACTTGGTCGGCCCCAGCGAGCGTCTGGCGTTTTCGCCATAGACGAGCAACTTAGCCATTGCAGTACTGCTGGTATCCTGGGCCTCTAACGTGAGGTCACGCAGTAGCAATTTCACACTTGTTTGGATCTGGACGATTCTCGTCCAGATCGAAACAGGCAGGGGTAGGGATCGAGCCCAGGATGTCTAGGTTCCACAGTGCAAGGAGCTTTCACTCGACGTGCTCTGAGCCACAATGCGTTTTTGCGTTCAGCCACCGTAGGCTGTGGCCAGGGGCGGATTTAGAGGGGGGGTCCGGATGTCCTGACCCCCTTCTTGATTTCTGCATGTGTAAAATTTAGGGCGTAAAACGAAGGAGAGGGGGAGGGGGTTCCTAAACATATGGTACGCTGTCCAACACCTGACCCCCCCCTCAGCAAATTCCTGCATCCGCCCCTGGCTGTGGCAAATGATGACGTTGCAAATTTCGCTCTGCTTACTTGGCCACCTTGTCGTCCAGGCAACGATGAGCTGGATCCTGCGTTCAGCCATCCAGAGGCTGACCACTGAGAGCCCCATCCAGATGTCAAAGCGCTTCTGGGAGAGAAGATCGTACCTGCGGAGGTACGGCTACGAGAACCCCCTCATGGAGCCAGGTAACGGTAGACCAGTTACGTGTAAAGTGAAATAAATGTGTAGTTCTCTGCTTGTTATTGTGTACAACGCGAACACCGCCTCAAGCAAGACCTATTGTGATGCCACTGGGGAAGGGCTCGGGCCAATCGTGTGCAAGAAATGTCGTCTCACACGACTAAAAAAGTGTTTGGCGTGGACTCCGTCACCTGTTGTCAGGAGTTTGAAATAGAGGTTTGCGGTTGCAAAAGTAGGTACACGCGGCAATTTGAACGTTCATGCCTTTTCGCGAAATCATGTTACTCTTAATTTGTTGGCATGCAGTGGCAGACTTCTTTGTAGACATTGATAAGAGGGTGCGACCACCGTGGGTGCGATTCTCGTAGTTGTGCCGTCGCACCTTGAAATGAAAGAAGTGTTTAGCGCTGCTTTTGCATACATGTTTCTTTCGTTCATAGCTTTTCAAAACAGAAAAAGTGTTGTGCCGAAACCGCAGCAGCAAGAGGCAATCAAAATGTTTATCCCTCGTTTCTTGTCACCATTCATACGGTTTCATGCTGCATAAGTCGCCATCAATTTGCCTGGCATCTTGGGTCTGCGCTTTAATGTCAAAGTGTCGCCTCGTTTTGCTCGTGCGGGGATAATTATTTTACTGGAATGCCTCGCGGGTCGTTTGATCGACCCTCCAGCGTCGTGGAATGAAATTGTTCCTCGTTATGCAACTGTTTCTTACTCTTGTTTGTCAGGAAGATTTCTAACCATTCACTTTTTTGGAGCCAAGCGAATGCCGTTTGTTGTTAAACGTCTTTATGAAATGCAAAATGAAGAATACTGGGGGAGCAAAAATTTATTTACCATTTCCGAGACACAGGAAAACATTTGAAAAACAAAAAAAGAAAAGCAATTCCAAGCCGGTACAGTGTGTTTCAGTGCACTGCCAGGTATGACAAATATTAGTATATTTAACAGCATCTGCCTAGTTTGCGTACATAATAATGGTGGAATTCATTCTGCACCTCGCACAATTGTAAGGAATGAAAGCATCTTGATAGCCTACCTTGGGAATAAATTTTGGCATTGATATACCATTCCTTTCTGTCTGCTGGTGTAACATATGCTTTTATTTAATTCTTTACATTGTAGAACTTAAGAGGTGATGTACTGGCATGGTTCTATGTTATGATAACCGTGTGGTGCCTCCTGACACTTTTTAAGGCTTGTTCACATTTGCAACAAGCGGCCACCATGCTCAGACCTGCAAGTCGCTCTTTGAAAGTGGCTTCATCATTTTTTGCTTTGGAAAGCGAGTGTTACGCGGTCAGGAATGTGAAATACACAGAGTGAGAAATCATAATCTGCTTTATTGAGATGCATTCACGCTAAGAGCAACTTGGGCAACATGCAACACATTTTATCTGGAAATACTTGATTGACTTCGTCGCTAAGCGTTAGAAACAACCACGGTGAATGCAAGCATCTATGTATCTGCAGACAATCTCAACAAGTTTCCTCACTTTCTGCATGCTGAAAGATCTACTGGTAACAATAATCATGCTTAGTTGCAGCGAGTTGTATTCACAATTGCATACAAATGAAGGAAATAGCACTACGCCGGCGATGTCCGGGGGTCGCAAGGCACCAGGGAGCCGACAAGGTGCCAATGGCACTTTGACACCGCTTCAAATGTTTTACTACCAAGTTCGACGAGCAAGCCTTCCTCCATTCACTGCACGCCATGCTCAGAAAATGTACAACATGTCCAGCAGTTATGCCTTTCCTGACATCCTGATTGGACATATGGCCGAAAAAGGCATCCACTGGACTGCAAATCATGTAAAGCGAATTATGTTCCCCTGAGGTATCTTTGAGAAGACGGAAATAATCACGGATCGGGAGACGACACAAAGGGAATGTGGGCAGCTGTCGACTGATTGGAAACCATTTTGTTGAAGGCGCAACGCAAGAAGCATTGAATGGTGCTGTCGGAACTCTGCCTTCTCGTCAACATGCTACATACCATGATCAGAATGATCTAGCTGAATGGCCTGCTTGTTTAGCATTCCATTGAGCTAGCTAGGGTCACGTCTCCATGTGGGCCAGACTTCTAGCAAGCATCTTCTGAAATTTTACTAAGTATTGCTGTAATCGTAAAGATCTTATGGCACTGATGATATCGCATGTCGATTTGTGGTGGAAACTGATTTAGTACATATTGTCTTTGCTTCTTTTCATTTTCCTTTTTATTTGGGGGGGGGGGGGGGGGGAGACCTAATTGTTAAATCGGGTCCACGCGGTGGGGTTGCTGGAGGGCGTTCCAATTTTTTAGGAGTCCCGGGCCTGAAAAGCTTGCGCCACAGGTTACGTGTTCCTGTGGCCCACGAAAGTAGCACGAGTCTCTTAGTCTTAAAGGCCAACCTACAGAATTGTCTTCTGCTGGGAAGAAAACCGGTTTCCAGTTTCCTTCTCTCCAGTCCCTTTTGTGCTCTTCTCTCCTCTCCCCACAGGAGCAGGTCTCTGAACTACTTTCTGCAGAAAGGAGGAGGGTCTCCCTCTTGAATAGAAAGAAAGAATTGAGCGAGTTTCCTCCTTTCTGGCTGCTTGTCGACCTTTTCACCGATACATTGTGATGCTCACTTGATCTGAAAACATGCTATTTTCTGTAGACACCCTACTACATTTCCCAGTTCTTTTTATGCTGCGTATGGGCCTCGTTTGTGCTAGATCCTCTGCCTACTTTTGTATTAGCTATGTCTCGCTCTTTCTTTCTTTGGACGTTGCAGCAGATGCTCTGCAGTAATGGAAGTGTTGCACCATTTGTGCCAAATTACGCCGTAAACGAAAGCCTCCTACATCTGGCGCCGCATTGCCATTTTTGCTAACAATATTTTATTATTGGTTGACTGATGTTCAGAAAAGTAGGAGGAAAGGAAAATTGTACAATTATGTATTTCACAGCGTATAGTTTGTTTCATCTTAGGTCAGAACACAGTCAGAGGCTCGTAACACATACAACTGCGGACACAAGCACAAAAAGCGAAAAGTCACGGGACGTTTGCTGGATTTGATTGGTCTAGCTGATGAAAGAACATGTACACTACAGAAAGATGGACGAATTCTTTGATGTTGTTCTTTGATGCTGTATGGCGAGTTCCGCTGGCTCACAGCATTGACAAAAACAGTACGGAAGACACACTGAGATCTACAAACAAGGAAGGCAACCTTCAATGGGGCAATATACAAAACGCCACAATGAGGACAAACTTTTGGGGACATAAACTGAAGGTCAAAGTAATCAGCACTGACTGAAACGACACATCTCGATTACTAAGAGACTTTAAAAAAACCAAGACGACAGTAAAAAGAAGAAAGAAAACTCAAAACGAGTTTGACGAACGTTTACGGAGGACTTTTCCAGTGGGAAAATAAACTGCCACTTGTACGAAAATTTCTAAAAACCGGTATATTTCAGTTTTAACTGATTCTTTTTTTATTTTCGACACCGGCAGATGTTTATTGGCGTTTTTCGGTTAAAACCGGAAAGTATATGGCCTACCTATAAGTAATATGGTTCAGTATCAAACAGCAATCCTTAGTCATTTTCAAAGATGATGATGATGTGATGTGTTAACAGATTTTCGCATCTGCTCCAAAAGCATCAGTGGCTGCACCAAACCAATATTTTGCCTGCTACAGAAAGTCAAATGCCACTTCCATCACTTGCTCTGTCATCATAAAATATGCCTTTTCTCTGTTACAGGGTTGCTGCCCAGACTGCCAAAGTTAAAAAGGAAGCTCAAGAGCCAACCTGTGTACGCACCCAAAGACGCCTGGTGTGAACGCCGTGCCCTTTTCGGGCAGAACGATTACATTGGTGAGGACTCAGCTCTAGCAGTCCTAAAGAAGGTGGCACATTGCAGGAGTTTCCCCAGTGGGGGAAACTTTTTTAAAAGGCAGCTGTAACCAGGGGCAGATAGTACAGTGTAGACCGCATATAATGTATGTCGCGAAAGCCGCGAAAATTCGCACTATAAGCGGTACCGCTCTATAACCAAAACATTAATTTTCAAGTCAAAGCACATGCCATGAGGCAACTTACCTTTGTAAAACAATTTATTTCATGTTAGATGAAAAATAAAGCTCAGTCTGAGGAAAGTTCTTATTTCACTAGGCTAGTACACTTCTCTCTCAAGCGTGTTACACATGTTGAAAGGAATTAGTGGTTTTTGCCTGGCGCTGCCTTTAAACGGCGTTGCGGACAACCTGGTCTTCGATAACACCAGTGTCGTCACAAGGGGGGAGGGGGGGGGGGGACCGCCCCAGTTGCAGCACTAGCGGGGGGGGGGGGGGGGGGGGGGTCAAGGCAAGCTACTGCCCCGGGTGCCACTGACCCTCGTGATGCCACTGGATAACGCTAAGGCATTTGAACACCTCATCACTGAAGGGATTCTCACAGTGAACCTCCAGTTTCTGTAAGAATTCCAGTGCTTCTTTACTTGAAACTTCCGTCGTCGTCTGACTCATCTTTTGGTGGACTCGCCCCAGAACCTCGCACTGGTGCAACAATAGCTTCATCGGTGGTTCCTTCCTCACGGATAACAGAATCATCGTCATCCTCATCTACATAGGTTTGAAACATGTCATTTGCAGGAACAAAGTGGTTTTCCGCAAGGTCAGACGACATGTCATCCGTGCCGATCGCCTCATTAATCGCATCACTGCACCGATCGGCGTCCTCGGAATTCCCGGCATTGTGCACAAACCCTGCGTTGCGAAAACACTTCTGGATAGTTGTGAATTTTACTTGCTACCACGATGCAGTGATCATGTCAATGGCACCCCTCAAGTCCACCTTGATGGGTTCCTCTCAATGCAATTTCAAGATAACTCTTTTGCATGTGCGCTTCTTGTAGAGCGCCTTGACTTTAGTGGTGATGCCCTGATAGGGAGGCTGGCTTTTAGCAGTGGTGTTTGTCGGCAGGAACTTCAAACTGACTGTGCTTTATTGCAGCTGCACATTGTGAGCGATGCAGTTGTCCAGGATAAGAAAGATGCACCGTTTTTCCGTGACCATGGCCTCATTGAAACTTTTCAGCCAACTAGCAAAGAACTCTTGGGTTGTCCAGGCCTTTCCATATGTTGTGTTAACCACAGGAAGGCATTCTCGCTTCTTGAAGCAACAAGGTGGTTCTGGTTTCTTAACGATAAACAAGCGCCGCTTGTCGGAGCCGTTCATGTTTGCGCAAAACAAAACCGTGACATGTTCTTTTGAGACTTTGCGGCTGGTACAGGGTTCACCTCTGATCGCAAGAGTGCGATCAGCAAGCATGTTGTAGCACAGACCAGCTTCATCGGCATTATAGATGTCTTTGTCGGTGTACACGGAAAGCATAACCTCGAGATGAATGCGAAACCACACCCGAATGCTGACATCGTCGACTTCCCCACTTTTGCTCAAGATAACTTTGCAGCTAATTCCATGGCAGTTTTTAAACCGCTGGATCCATCTGTTGAGGGTGTTGAAGCCTTCTTGTTTGAACAAATGTCCAAAGGACCTAGCCTTCGCTTGTAGCATCGGGCCACTCACTGGGGCGCTTTTGGCTTACACTTCGCGAAACCACCTAAACAAGGCTTCGTCAGCGTCCTGATACTTTGGCGCACAAATCCACTTTCTTGAGGGGGGACGCAGAATCTTGCTGTAGCTGCTTCCGTACCTGTTCCCGGTTCTTCCAGACCGTGGAAACTGGTGTGTCAGCGACGTTGTACTTGGCCGTGATGGAAGCTTTTTAGAGGGCAGCTCTTAGGCGCCCGTTTCCGGCTTGAGCCGCGTCATCGTCGGCGTAACCGTGCGTTGCAATATGGGACGTTTTCCGTAATGACGTCACACGTGAGGTCACACAGCACCTAAATTTGGTGGAAAATTTTTTCTGTTAAATTTAGTGTGAAATTTTCCCGCTAAATTTAGCCGAAAATTTACTGCTCAATTTTGTTAAATTTAGCAGGAAATTTTCCCCCTAAATTTAGCAGGAAAATTTTCTTGCTAAATTTTGCGGAAAAATTTTCTCGCAAACTTTAGCAGGAAAATTTTCTGTTAAGTTTAGCGGGAAAGAAATTTTTCCGCCAAATTTAGCAGGCAATTTTTTCCACTAATATTTGGTGGGGAAATTTCTCTGTCAATTTTTTCCGCTAAATTTAGCGGAGAAATTTTCGCATCAAATTTGGCGAAGATATTTTCTCGCCAAATTTAGCAGGGAAATTTTTCCGGCATATTTAGCAGATTTGTTTTGGTAAATTCAGTGCGGAAATTTTCCCGCCAAATTTAGCGACGGAAATATTCCCACTAAAAAATCCAGCTAAGTTTAGCGGGTAAATTTACTGGGAAATTGTCCCACGAATTCACGGTAAATTCCCCTCCATGCTCTTTCATCTTCCTCCTCAAGAGCTTAGCTCTAATTTGGCATTACAGAGAATTGTAAACGTCTTTCATTTTTTTATGCCACTTCCGACATCTTTGACAATGCTATGTTTAGTTTCGAGAGACAGGTCTTGTCATTTCTTGGCCATCTTGGGCTTAGGAGACGGGGACGGATTGGCGATGGACGGTCGATTTCTGTTCGATATGCTTGATGCGGTCCATACATCAGATGTGAGCGCAAGCCAGCAAGCTGCAAAACTAGGAACTATCTAGCTATCCAGCCTTCGTTTTGCGCACGGTTTAAAAAAGGAGGTTGGTTTTGCATCACTCGTGCAAGGGGGTGAAATCAAAAGGACAAAACGCTTGGGTAGCTTATTGCGGCTTTCGGAGTTGAGAGGTTGAGAATCGGGATTCGGCCTGGGTGGCTCATTGGGGCTTTTGAAGTTGAGCGTGCTAATGCGTATGTCGCACCTCGCTGCATTGCAATTCGTTTCTCGCCTGTCTTTGCTTTTCCACGCTTCTTCCGCACAACCTCCTTGCCCCCGCGAGGGCCGCTTGCGTCGTTATGTGGTGTCACACAGGGAAGTGTGCTTGCTGCACCGGTCAGCCAGCAGGCTGTTCCAGAAACTGCACTCTAACCGGTATTACCCTTTGCACGCCTGCATTTTAAGCAGTATGTAATTACATGAAGTTGTTTGGGAGGTAGACCGGTGGTTGAAAAAAGCCACGTTATATCCAGTCCTGCGCTATAAGCGTTTATATTATAAGTGCTCTATTCTGTATATGGGTCAGGGTTGGAAGGGGGGGGGGGGGGGGTGCAAAGAGAGACAACGTCATAAACAAATGAGATGTCACGGATGAAGCTAATTGTCATTCCACCGAGAATGAAGCATTGCTACCAAAAAAAAATAGTGTGTCCTTTTTTCCGTAAAAAAAATGCCCCCAGGCTGGAAAGGGGGAGCTGCCCCCTCCTTTATATCCACCCCTACCCTATATTTCCTTAGGGCTTTTCCTTGGTTAGAGGAGAAAATAGAAACAACCCTCAAGACATTGCTGCGTGAAAGTAGTCTTCAAATAAATATTTCATTAAAGTTTGTCCGACGCTGTGCTGTAAAATCGGTGACCAGCTCTATCCAGGGTTCACGAAACTTTTAGAGAAATTTGTAGTTCCCATAGAAAAGGTGAATATTTCCATAGCTAGTCAGGAAAATTTATAAAGAAAACCTTCAATTTAGTGCCAGCTTTCTTCAATATGCTGCGTTTTCGGAACACTTGGATACGTACAGCGTTTCGGCATATATACAGTAGTTTGATTATTAAGTCAGTAATCATATAAATACAAATCAAAGTTCCATACACAGATCTTGCTGGGCGTTTTTTCAAGGTGTTTTTTTCTATACTTCAATATCGGGTCCAATTAATTTTTTTACAAAACTATGGTGTTCAAACACTAGCAGAACCCGAAACTTTGGGCGAGAATGCCAAAGCGAGAGATGCACTCCAACTATCGCCTCCTGAAGCAAATAAGTCACGTCTACGGTTCCTTCTATACTCTATTTCACCTTATTATGTACCGCAGGGAAGGCTACGAGCGCGAGCTCCTTGCTCCAGGCGCATCTCGGCGGCACAAGCTCTCGTGCATTAAGGGCAGCTGCCAACTCTATGAGCTTGCGCTTCTAGCCTTCGCTGCAGTACAGCATAAGGTGAAACGGAGTATAGGTAACGAAATGTTCACCTGTTCAATCGGGGTAACATCTTGTATGGGGCCACGTGGTTCTTCGACCTAATAGGAACCCGTGGAGATACTTTACTTTTTTACAAAAGGGATAAAAAAAAATTTTATTGACCACCGAGAAAAAAAAAAGAGACCATGGGAACAAGTCCCACGGTTTATTTTAATGCGAAACGGAGTAAGCATTTTTATCTTAACTTTGCAACTGATTTTGTTCCGAGTTTGCAATGCTACAGGATATGGCGCGAGTGCCTCCTACGTTGCCTGGCCGCGGAGATACTCTAGCCCGCACTATTTCTCTTTCCTTCTTTTTTTTCTACTTCTTTTATTTATTGTTTTTCCTTTATCTTTTGCCGTAATTTCCACCGTATAAATGCGAGCCTTTATATGGGATTTAAGAATAACGCTTTCAAATTGTTGACTCTCCGTTTCCCGCCTTCACGTGCCCTCCACCAATGCGATTGGTTTGTCGATCGTTCATTTCATTCGTGGGGCAAAGACCATTTTGACGCTTAGCCCGGAGCGGGCACAATAGACTCCTTGCAAACGCCTGTCAAGCAACACTGGCGATTGCCATTTCTCGGGCACGAAGCGTACGATTGGATACCAACCCCTGCTGAACGTCAACGCACTTTTCGTATTCAGCACATGCTCGGTGCATGTGCCCAAGCAGTGGCGGGCTTGGATAGTTGGAGGAGCAGTTACTAGACGGCGCACATTTTTTAAGAAGGGTCCACCGGCGATGGTGGCCATCTGAAAGTGAAGCGCCCCGAGATTCGGACACAGTGTCGGGAAGCTCGGGCAACATTGTTTTACTCCGTCACACACCATTTTAAGACTTCTGGAGGACGTAAGAGCATTTCCCCCAATTTGAGATAACTGGCCACTATGGTTCAAAACACCCGGATTTCTGAAGCGTTGTCACTCAGAAGCATAGACCGTTTCTCTAAGGTGACAATGGCAGGACCTCACCTTTTAACGTACGGCCTCCAGCTTGTGATCGTCGCCTTTCACGGCGCTTTGGCTGCACATGCATGCCCAAGACTCGCAAGATGCCAACGCGTTTTCGGAAGTATAAAGCACGCGCTGCAGGCAGGACAAGTAGAACTAGGGGGTATCGGTGGCCGAGTGGGCTAAAGCGCACACCCAGCTCGACGCGCGTGGAGCAAAAGCTCGCGCTGCAGAGCCCAGGGATCCTGGGTTCGAGCCCCACCCCTGCCCATTTTGATCTGGATGGGCATCGTGCCGGCGTGCGGTCATGTATCACTACTGCGTGAGCACGTTAAAGACCTCAGGCTAGCGGTTGTACTGCACTGGCTAAATTGCTCATCTACAGCGTGTGACTCGTCGCAACTTTAATGGCTGACCAACTACACGCTGTATAAATATCCCCACAACCCAATTTACAAGTAGAACTCCTCCCTGCTGTTGTGATCCTGTCAGCGACTCTAGCCACGTTAGGAGATCCAAGTCGGTTGTAAAGCTTCCTAGAACGCCGAACGCCTTTTCGTGGCGCGTTCACTCGGCGGTGCTTCCCAGCACGTGTCAACCGAAGCGACAAAACGTCGTATGCGTGTTGCTCGTGGTGAAAACCAACTCTATCCCGTTTTTCGTCGCAAACGCGAAGTTTGCTCAAACGTCTGTGCGAAAAGCGCGTCGTTTGAAAACGATGGGAGCAGTGCCACCGGTGGTGCTAGGATCGCCATCCGCCTGAAGTCCCTCGATTAAATACATGTTTCGCGTTTCTTGCGAGTATGTACCGCCGACCATCGTTGTGGTTGTGCAAACACACAAAAGACGTGTCCCGAGCATGCACTCCGCCGCCGTTCTCTTGCAAGCGCCGCTGGTTTCGACGCTGCGTCGCCTTCTGCTTCCGAGAACAGCACGAGGCATGGGCCTCGTGCATTGGCGCAGTTGGCGCTACTTGCGAGCCAAGCGCAAGACGTTGTGAGAGGCTTTACACCCACCCGTACCTGCTCGCGTGCGGGCAACCTAGAAGGACCGTTCTCGAGCAACGATCCCCGTGAAGTTGGTCAACTGGTCGATCTAAAAACGTTGGACAATAGAGCACCATCGGACAACTTTATGAGGGCCATCTCTGTCTTGTTTCTGCAGACATCCTGGGAAGCGGGGCCCTGAAGCCGATCCACATCATGCAGAATGTGCCCCAGTGGCTGCGGGGCTTCCAGGGCAACGAATACCAGATGCTGCTCCGGCGGAGGAGGGTCAACCAGGAATGGAAGGAGACAAGGCCCACCCGCTACCGCAACATGGCCAAGCGCATTCGCTACCTCTACAAGGTGCTCAACCACAAGACAAAGTCCTGATCGCTGATGCGAGATTGTGTAGTTGCTCTGCCGTCTTAGTGTTAATAAAGCCTGTCGCCCTCGTGCTTTGTTTTGTTTTATATTTTACCATTGCAATGTTGAGAGTGTTGTCTAAAATGAAGGATTCTCTTTAGTTGTTTTGAGTGTGCACATTCGTTTTTATGCCTATTAGCTGGCAGCCATTACAGAAGTGGTTCCCATTCCCTCGTTGACAGACGTCGTGGCAAAATCCACTAAAGGACACCATATCCACAAATAGAGCGGTGTGCATCTGTCACTGCGGAGTTTCTGATGAAGTTTTGGGGCATTTAATCTGCTCCATTCAAAGCACTTAATCTGCCAGTCGTTGCAATCTGTTCAACGCACGATTGCGCTTGGCATAGATGGAGATAACCCTTTTAACATAGGGTGTCTGGCTTTTACAGCGCAGTTCTTGGGCATCCTTTAACGTGTATAGCAGTGTAGCCGTTGACGTAACCGCTATATGCAAGAACAGGTGCCAAGGAGTCCCATAACGTAAGCACATTGCATTATGGGACGTCGCAGACCTATACACCAATTCAATTCCCCGCCAAATTTAGCGGAGAAACTGAATCGGTATATAGGTCTGTGATGTCCAATAATGTAACAATGCAGACATTGCATTATGAGACTCCCACCAAACCCTCCTGGTCTTCTCTGGCCTACCCTCAAGCAAAAACAAAAAAATATTACAATATTTAAATATCTTTTTCTCAAATTCTTTGCCACGGCATATCACAAAATCAAAATATCAAGAGCTGCGCTTTAATTTTGCATTACAAAGAAGTGTAAAAGTCTATATTTTTTTGTTTCTGCATCTGCTTTTAGGGGCGAAGCTCCTTAGGGTCTAGCTTTGTCCAACTGTCTGGTGTCCGTGCTCACATCAATTGCCATCCCATCTGTCTGTCATGGATGAAACGTTGCATGTAGCCGCTCAATGTCTATACAGGAGAGGGCGCTGTGGTCAAATGCTCAAACGCGTATATAACCACGTTCCATACCACACATTCTCTTTCTGACATGGACCGTTGACTTAAGTGGTGGCGATGCGTTCCCACGGCTTCTAGCGGATCCAAGCTGATCCGGTAGAAGAACCACTGGCTCTGCATTTCACCGACCATAAAGCAGTAATAATGAAGTCGAAACGGAACCCGGAACTCAGCACTACCTATGAGCAATAAAAAAAAAATCAGCACCATCAGCACTACCTATGAACAATATAATCAGTATCATCAGCACCACCAGAGCTTCGCCCCAATCAAGATCATTCACAGGTGGAGATGCTGCAATTTTTTATTGCCCGGAACCATCTATAACACGAAAAGGAGACTGTACTAAATTGGAGACAACACAACTGGGGCTGCTCCTTTAAATCTAGCAAAGTACAATGCCGGCACAAAATTCTCACTTTACGATTTATTTCCCAGAAAATACTAAAATAATGTGTCAGTTTGAAGTCAACTGAAATTTTGTCAAAATTATAACATGGGTAAATTGTAATTTGTTAGATCTGTAGAAAAAGGTTTCACTGCATTTCTTTGGGAAGTAATTTAGAAATAAAACATTTGAAAACACGTTACTAAAAAGCTATGAAATAGGAGAGCAAGACTGAAAGAACAAAAAATTCAATCATTTATAACATGTAGTTAATTTTTTCGTACATACCTCAGAGATGAAAAAATTGCCGCTAAAGCACTCATTTGCCCATGCAACATTCCACCCAGCCTCGGTGATGATTGCAAAGGAATAGTACCATTTTCTGGACACGTCATTGGTATTAATGGGGCATGCTTAAAGGGGCGGTGCAACGATTTTATGATTAAAAGAATTTGCATCTCGTCACTTTTACGTTGTTTATTGTGTCCCAGAGGATAGGGAAAACACCTCCTTCATTAAAAACGTCGCGATTCCTCTGCATAATCGCAAAGCAAAAGTCGAGCTTTTTCCCGCACCTGCAGCCCCAAGTGGCAGCCGAAGGAACTACGGCGGAAAGATTATGTGACCTGGCTCGGCCCTAAGCTGCAGCATAGCGCCCGCTAATGCACGCAGAGAGAGGGAGGGGAAGCGTCCTCCGAGATAGCACACGGGAAGCTACACGGCACTCCGAATGACGTCACTGGGAGTGCGACCAGGTGTGACCCTGAAGACTGGGAGTGAGTTGAGGGGTGCTCGAAATGCCAATCTTTATCTTTTTTTTACGCAACAACTAGGACACGCAGGCAAAATCGGTCTTCTGTTCTTTACTTCAGAAGTGTCAGGGGGCAACTTCCAAAAATCTTTGACCGAAGTCCGAAAATCGTTGCACCGCCCCTTTAAGAAGATATTGTAGCTAAATTCTAACATTTTTTTTTTTACGATTTCGGGCAGCACTGCAGGTCCAAACTGCACTAGTCACAAAAGAGTTCCTTCTTTTGCTTGATTATCTTTGGAACTTGACCTAGGATCAAAGGGGGTGGGTTTTTGGAGGGATATTAGGCACTTTTCACTGAATCTTAGTTCAATCAAACGACGCCAGGAAACCTCAATAGGTGCCTTGGCACTTTGCCAACAGTCCATGTCAAAGGGCTCCGCCATATCTCTGAAAGAAGATAAAAAAATACTGCTCCTCAATGGCCATGCCAGTCGTCTATGAAGAAGAACCAAGCAGGCCTCTAAACAAAGGGTCCCCATGGAGAATTTGGTTGGTTGCTGTTCTTTATTTAATGTCAAAAGAAGGACTTTCACCTGTTTATAATCATACCATGCTAGGACCAAAGAAAGGCGACAATTTCGGCTTTTGCACTAGCAATACTTGTAAGTGTTCCCAAAGAACTTTTTTTTTTCACCACGAGAATAAATTGTGTTGCCAAATGCTCAATCTCTGCTCAAATGTAGCACTATCGGTCTGGACCAATGCCAAACTTCCAGAACAATCAAATTATTTTGCTTAAAAGTCGCAAACGATTCTCTGAAAATTTTAATTGCAAAATCGAGCCCGTTCTTGGTAGTCGACGTCATTCAGCTCCGTGTATTTGTGGGCCTCGTCGGCCAACCTTTTCCCATTAAGAATTTCTGAAAATTGCTTACAACTTTTGGACCACTTAGCGGCAAGCTCTGAAACTTTGGCATCTGCTTCCGACCGCTAGAGCTACATTTGGGCGAAAACTCGGTGTTTGGCAATGCATAGTTTATTTTTGCAGGAAAAAGAAAGGCCAATTTTTTGGGGGCGCTGGGGAGGTGGGGAGGTGAGGACACCTTGCACATATCTTATATGGTGGCAGGGCAGAGATCAAACCACATATCACTTCGCTTAAACACCAAGGATATGTGCCAGCTGCAGGTATGAGGTGCAGCAATACGAGCCGGCCCAGCAACGTTCAGGCTGGGGTAGCACAAAAGCCTTGCAGGGAGACCCAAGTATGTCAAGTTGTTAAATAACACCTGAATGAACTTGTACATTTCCTTCTATCACAATGTGGCAGTCGATTTAATAACAGCATCCTGGAGGCACCCCATGCATCATTCTGCCCTTTTCAGTAGCACTTAACTGGGCCACCACTCCAACTGCTGACTGTACTCGGACAAATCTCCGAACTGACGGACAACAGCGTTACTCGTGCAGAACGTTTTTTGACGGCACTTATTGAACATGGCTTTCCTTTGAGCACAAGTAAATCACACTCGATGGAATAGTTCAGGCTTATGAACCTCCCTGACACGCCATTCTATCCAAACTTGTGAAAATCCATTCACCACGAACAACTTCAGGTCGGCCCATCCCAGCTCTATGGCAGGTTTGCCGCAATTTGATTTAGAAAGTTTCTTCAAAAGACAAAAACACTCGGAAACATTTTTTTTACTTTTATTTCACGTTTTTGACATTTGTCATTTCGTCATTTTTCGGTCAATTGCACGATAAATACCAAGAAATATGAACTCTTAACATTAGTATGCAAGTAGAAATGATGTTTTAATACAATATCTCATTTGCTTAGAAAACTTTCACATTAAAAAGTTTCCTGTTCAGGCACTCTGTAGTGGGCTTTGATTGACACAAACTGTTCCATGAAAGATAAATTACCTACAGTGGCAACATTGAATTTAAAATATTACAATCCAGTACAAACGTTTTCTTAATTATAAAGTTGAAGGTATAGCCATATCTAATCTATAAATCCTGGCAAATGGACAACTGATACGAGCATCAAAGGTAGCGGCGGTGGGAAATTTGGAATTGCTCCTTTATCTTGAATCTATATTTTCAGAAAGGCAAAAGAAGAAAGCATGAAGTCTGAGTTTCACAATTTCTTCCCTGCTCTTTGCAAAAACAGAAGGGAAAAAAATTCCAGGAAGCTCAAGCATTTTTTATGAGTTGTGAATGCGAAAGCATTACGTTCTGTCCCTAGCGTGTTGCGCCGCTGCTTGTTCTGCCCGCTGTGTATTCGGAGACTTGACAACGATGGTGGATTTCGCTGCCTGCCTCTTCGCTCATTTTGCTGCGTTCTTCCGAAGAGGGTATTCCAACTTACAGTCACAATTTGACTGAGCAACTGCTGCTTAAGAAAAGATATAAGCAATAGTTTCCACAGAATTGCTGCTCTGCAGCATGAACAAAGAGGAAAGAAAATTGTTACACCAGCATAAATGTCACATAACACAAAGGAAGTGGATTCCCTCTAAGCATTGAAACAAATCAGCAAGCTGCTTCCACCAAAAAAGAATGCCTAGACTAGCATCCTGCACCAATATACCCAAGATCCTCCAGTTTCGGTGGCAAAAGAACCTAATCGGAAATTTGAAAAAGGCATACACAAGATCAGGCACCAACGGATCGAACACTTCAACACTATACCTTGGCAGAGCTAACTTTGCAGCTGCAAGCTATTAACAACCAAATAACTGCTGCAATATTGCATCAATCGGTGGCAAAGGGCTCTCACCTAACCTATCTCGTTTCTCGTTGCACCACCTGAAGCCTGCCCATAAAAAACATTCCATAGTAAGCTTTTAGGAGCAAATGTCAACAAATGCACATTAAGATGTTGCAGTGAATAGTTCGGAGGTTTCATGTCGGATCAGGGTCATGCTTTGTGCAGAAATTACACTCATGTGATCCGACAACAATTGTCTTGGCTCGTACGCCAACATCTCCACGTGAAAAGACAAGTGTCAGTTCAACACCAGGATACAGAAGTCACTGATCCCTGTAGGAACAAACACTTCAAAAACAAGTTATAGTCGCTGGCACAGTACTTTAATGAGCCATTAACAGCTCTTGTGCCAAGCATGCGCTGAAGACGTGCACACCCAAAAACACTGATTCGAGTAGTTGGGGAACCAGCATGCCGCTTGCGGCCACAGTAAAGAAGCAAATCGAGGCCAGAATCCTTCGTAAGGAGCCGGCGTCTTTTTAAAGCACCGCAGTGAAAAGAATGCCGAGGCTCCTTGGGATCCCTCCGTCCCAAAACAAACGTCTGCCTCTGACATGCTCTTTACCTCCAGTGTCCCAAATTTAATAATCATCACAAGTAGTCCCTCAACCATCATCACTCAAAATGGCACTTCTACCAATAGCCAAAGGTGAATGTCAGAATCTGCCGGTGCTACAGATGCAAAATATTTAAACAATAAGGAACCGTTCAGAAAATTGACAAGCACAACAAATTATTAATATGCAAGGAATTCCAATATAACTTCAGGCTTTTAGCAAGAATATACAATATATTCCTGCGGTCTTTGCACACATAACGTCTCTCAACATGCTTATGATGATAACAAGATGACAAATTGAAACAGCCAGACCACTCCATGACCACATCTAGTCACTTTGGGGACTTGCATTAACCCGCGGTTAACGGTCATATTATCACCCTCAACAAGGTTCAACAACCTTTCAAATTTCACTCGCCCTTCAGTCAGTTTTCTACTATGTAGAAAGGTCAAATTGCATACTGCACACTTTAGAAATGGGAAGGCACATGGGGGAAATGCTAGTCTTGCATTAATCCTATTTATTTTGAACTAGGAACCTCACTTCCAAATCTCAAATTCAGGGCAATGAAGCCACCGATGGGCTAGGCATCTCACGGTTGCCCCATCTTCGGAACAAGCCCACCGCTCCCGTAGCACTTCCGTGCACGTACAAAGTCATAAGTCAAATTACACTAGACCTAGTACGCAAGTGCCAGGAAACATGGCAAGGTGCTCCGAGCGACGCAGCAATGAAGAGACCTACCATCACGTCCGGCCCGTTGGTGACCGCAGGTGGCCCAACCGCCCCTTCAAGTGTAAACTAACTTCAGAGTGATGCCGAAGGCACTCCTCCCAAAGATGTGCGAGTTCCCTCAAGCTCAAATGGGCTAGAAGAAACTTGTACACCGAATGGCCTTGCACATTATACAAACACGCATGTTCTACAAGCTCGCACTTCGAACAAACTTGAACGTCGTAAAAACTTGCACATTGTAAAAAATTGACATCGTACAAACTCGTAGCTCGAATGGCAACTCCGGCCACTGATGCGCAACCGCACCCAGTGGACACGGCTTACTCAGACGGCCCATTTGCAAGGCTCCTTCTTGTGAGCTCTCGCAGTGGCTGCGTCCAGAAGCCCCTTCCTGCAGCGCCAGCAGAAGAGCCGACGGCAACGCCAACAGGCAGCCACCTTGGCGAGGATGGCGCCACGCTCGAGACGTACACCACAGTCTCCGGGGCACACCAGGCGGTTCCGTGCGTCCTTGGACAACCATGCCTAAACAATGCAGGAAAGGTAAAATCAATGTTTTCCACACAACACGAGATGCAATATATGCCACGTGCAATCGCACTGCGCCGTCTCATGTGAGAAATCAAGCCAGTTTCTCTCAATGGTTATAACTACCTTAGCAAAAAACAGTGACCAGTACATTTAGTCAAGAGGACAACAAATTTCCCCCTATTGCATTTGGAAGTAGCTATAGACTGCAGTGGTTTTTCTTTTTTGCTGCTTCTGAGGCTTGCGGCCTCGTGTTCAACCTACCAGCTCGACTAAGAGGATTATCTCTGGCAGACAGAAAATCCTCTCCTTGTTTACTCTGGTGCGTTTGAGTTTGAAGAAAACCGGGGAGATGATGTGGAAAGGGAATGCAACCTCATACAGTCATTTCTTGTTATAACAAAATCGCTTTTTCTTATTATCACTTTTATCGAAGTTCAACGTGGTCCCGACCGAAATGCATGCCTTCTTAACCAGATTATTTTAAGTGTATCAGCAGCTGACCACTCCTATTACGAAGGCCGCGGTGCCAAAAGTCTACATGGAGGCGCACGGAGGCCCTCGCGTTCCCTCTCCCATCTCCACCGAGGCAAATGGCAAACTGGGAAAACGAAGTAAACGGGTGACAAAAAGCAAACAGCGCAGAGCTGGCAAAGCGCCACTTCTGATGCCAATGCGCCGACGCGGGGATGCGGGCAGGGAGCAGCGGGAGCGGCGTGAACATTTCCACGGCATACACTGTCCAACTCCTGTCAGAATCCGGTCAAGGGAGCGATGGAGCCCGGAGGAGATAATCCCTTCAGAAGCCCCCGATGCACGCGCCTGCATGGGTGTGCCTGCGGCATACTACACGCGTACCCATGCGTCGTATGTGAGATTGAGATAATTCGCCGGCCCAAGTCTGAAGTCCGAAGGACACTGTCCACCATTTTGCAAAACACCAAGGTATATTGGACAAGTTCGAGAAGTTCCTCATGCAGGAGAAAGCAGGCCCGCGACCCAAAAGTGAACGATCGCCAACTGCTTCGCGCACATAGAAGTTGCTCTTGCAAGCATGCTTGCCGAGCCGGCGCACGATTTCCTATGGCTGCAACGGTCTCAACAGAAGTGTGTGAAAACGTGTTGGCAAAGCCATCCAGGATAACTTTGATCCGTTCGCGCTTGTCGATGCGGATGTTCCTGTTGTAGCTCCTGCCACAAATGACACAATCGTAGACCTTGCGTGCGGCCAGGGTTAACACGAAGCAACGTCGAAGAGGCACCCCAGGAAACGCCGACGACTGCGGAGGCGTGAAACATCCTACGGCTGCTTCGAAACAAAGTGGAGTGCAGCAGCGGTGACAGTGTTCTTGCAATGCCTGGAGCAGTTCGAGGAGAAGTGATGCCCGGATGAAATTATTGGAAAACTCCACTTATTTATGGTTTATTGGTAAAGCTGCCGCGAGATGTTCATAACCAAGGTTTGTTTGATTAGATATACGGTCAGTGTTTCGCAGTGTTCCCAACCAACTTCAAGGCTGCTGACAGCGTTTTTTTACAGCGAAGCTGTATACCTCTACCCCGCCACGGTTTCTTTCGTGTCGTTGTCAACAAAGAAATCTCCAAGGCCATACAGCATAGAGTGCAGTATTCGTTTCAATAAAGGAAAAAAAATCACAAAACAAGCATCAAAACCGTATGATGGATGATAAGGCGCCTGTGAACAATGCGAAGCATGAGCATGAGCATGCGTTTCCCGGTACAGATTACGGTTGTGGCTGCTCTGGAAAGGGGTTGACGTCATTTGAAGCCTTAGTGTGACTCGTTACGCCAAGTGATTAGATACACCGGAATAGTGTGTGCGAAGCGAGATGACAACCATTCGGCAGGCATCGCGATCTACGCAAGGGATGAAGCTGGTGTCCAGCCATATGAACTCCAATATGACCGAGTCGACTGCAGAGATGTGTGCTCCATGAAAACTAGCGATGGAATCATACTTTTTACGGTCTACATCTCACCGAATACATCCAAATGTGACATTTGAGTGGCTCATGCGAACACACTTCTCCTCACTGTCAACAGATCAAGCCACACCGGTAATCACTGTCGGGGACTTTAATGTGGACATTTCGAAATCGCAAAACAAGTGGTTCATTCAATTTGTCATGGAAGAGTTTGCACTCATGTGCTTTACCAATGTAACTCAACCAACAACCTTTCATGGATCATGCATTGATCTAACTTTAGCTAAGAATCTCTTTACAGTGAGAACGGAAAATCTTAGCATGTATCACTGATCATAAAGCAGTTGTCAATATTGTTACAAAGGAAATAAAAAGTCTGTGCCACGTTGCATTGGGTAAATTGTTGTAGGTGTCGTTACAGCTTTGTTGGCCAACCACCTTCACAGAGTGGAATGGCTCTACAATTTTTGGCTCTATCGCTTTTATTGAATTAACGCTTATATAAAAAAATTTTTGCCGTCCCGCTGAGTTCGTTATAACGAGGGATTACTGCACATTTACTTTTTGCATAAAATATGATGCCTGTTCCATGACTTATGCCTGCGAAGTGTTCAATCTGAACGCTAATTTGGCAAAGTAAAAAAAAAAAAGAACCTCGTGTTCCTTTTTTATGAACCGCTTTAGAAGCTGCCATACAATGTGCTGGATAAGGGCCCATCCACTTATCTTCCAGAAGCTATCACAACTATTTTGGTGAAGCAAGAGACATTTCAGGGTCTCCAGACAGCAATAATTGTGCAAGAATGACAGGCTAAAATACTGATAGAAAAGTTTTATGCAAAAGGAGAACTCTATTTCTGCTTCAACATGGTGTAACAATGTAACATCATGCTCAACAGCACCTCACATTGCACAGAATGAATCAAACAAACAAAAACTGATAATGTTGCAAATTAAAATTAAACTTTGCGAACCAGATTTTTGGGCAAATTTCAGCTCTGTACTACCGCTGATTTTTGGAGTGTACTCCTTGCTAAGTATTCTCGTCATGCCGACAAGCGACAGAGAGAGGAGTTCTCGAAAGGAGATCTCTCGCGGATGCCAGGGACTGGCAGCCTACATATTGATAAGGGATCTAGCTTTTCTGGGGTTGAACAAGCTAAGTTTCTTAGCGAAACGTTGGCTGTTAGTGTGAAGCCTTCGACGGAAGTTTCCTCTCGAGTTCTTCCTACCAGGTTCCGCTAACTTTGTGCTCTAAAAAAAGAGGGCGGCTGACAGAGTACACTCACCTTAGTAGAAGCACCCCCTGGCGCAGCCTGTGCCCTGTACGTATCGCAGGACATGCCGTAGTGATACAGGGAACCACACCTGCGGGGAAGGGGAAGTAGCAACAGATAAAATCTTTGCCTTATCTCAAGAGCATCATTCTATGTATAATAGCAACCACACCCCGTCCTCTATAAAAAAAAATGCAGGGACAACAGTGACAAGGAGAGAACGTGAAAAGATGCATTTACCATTCTCTTCTTCCGAGCCTGGTCTCCACTGTTCAATCATGATCACGCATCACTAAATCACTAGAGCTACTGGTATTTCCCTTTTACCCAAAACCTGGTCAAAGTACAGTGGAACCACATTAATTCGTGTTTGTAAGGCCATAAAAGATATTTGTATAAAGTGGGTTTCTAAGCTGCTCAGAAAGGAGGAAATGGTAAAAATCAGACACGGAACTTCAATGCTTAGGCTTGAAAAAGTTTACTGGAAATGTGCTGTAATAATCCGACAAGTCATCAACGTGGACTTGCCACGTCCTGCTATTTCGCGGCGCACAAGGTGTTTCTAGCAAGTGAGCCAGGTGCACCATCTCAGAACTGCCACCTTTGCATTTAGCGAGGCTGTGGACCAACTAGCGACCCCGGTCGGTATCAATAAACCACCACCCTATTCCGTCGTGTGGCCGGAGCTTCCTATGCTCGCCGACAGGGCAAAACCGGCACGGCGTCTTTTTTGGATGCCCGGTTTCCACCATGCACTCGTTGCCTTCCGCCGTGCTTTCGCTGCGCGTGCACGCTCACGAGACACTGAAGTGTTATCGAAGGTATGAAGGTTGTGCTGAAGGCAGGACTAGTGAATAACCCCGTCATAGTGGGCCAAATCCCTTATTCTTTTGTCATAGGGTTCATTATATACTTTAGAGAAAAAAGTTTCATGCATTTCAACCCCTTCAGAACAGCGGAGCATTGGTCCCGATGGTCCCATATTGCAGACGACTCTTTAAAGAGATACGTCAACAAAATTTGAAATATACCTTTCGTGTTCACAAATAGGCTGAATATGATCCACAATAGCCGTAGATGACAATCGAAAGTTTGTATTTTGAACCTGATGGCTGTATTTTTCGTTATAACCGCCCTTTCTGGCAAACGCTCGGAGAGCAGCCAGCTGAGGGCACGCCACATCTGCTGCAATCATGACATAGTTTGTCTCGAGACCTTACGTCCAGACGCAGCGAATGCCTGCGAGCTGTCCCAGCCAATCCCGCTCTGTGGACGTAGCCCGCGATATGCTTTCCACGCGTCGCTGTGCCCCCTCTCCAAGGTCCCATAACCTTCACACGGCCTGGAATAAATCCCGATGGCTCGTATCATCCGCTCAAAGCAGCCGAAGCACACCGGCGATCGGGCCACCGCAAGTAACCCCAAAGCCGCCTTTGTACGAATTTTGAGTGACGGGTTAATTTTCTATATTCTTGTAGAGGGACAATAGCGACTTCTGGGACACACAAAAGAGATTGTCTTGGGGAGAGAGGAGTTCCTCCTTCAGCTCTTCTCTCGCCGTAGCCAAAGGCGAGACAGTTACCGTTAGGGATGTCGCGAACCACCCTAGGTTCGATTTCGAAAGGTTTCGATATTTGCGAAGCGAACTGAAGTTCGATTTCGAAAAATTTCGATATTTTCGTACCGACCGAGGTTCGATTTCGAAAAATTCGCAACTTTTGTCCACAGCGGAGTTTCGAAATCGAAAAGTTCGAAGCTTTCACGGTTTCTAAAATTTCGAATTCGATTATATCGAATATTTTTTTACTTCAGGTTCGATAAATTCGAAGATTTCGAAATTCTTTGTAAAAAAAATTCGAAAACTTCGAACGCTTCGAATTTTTATAGACATGAAGTTCGAACAATTCGAAGATTTCGAATTTTTTTTTCATAAAGTTCGAAAAGGTCGAAGGTTTCGATTCTCTTTTAACGCTAAATTAAAAAAAAAAAAAAAAAAAAAAAAAAAACTTTGAAGATTTTGAATTTCTTTCTAATCCAAGTTTTCAAAGTTCGAAGTCCGATTTTCAAGTTTTTCCACAGTTTCAGTTTCAAATAACGTTTCCACGACTCACCGGTTTTCACAAAATCAAGTTTAGAAAAGTTAGGGTGTGATATCTAGATCCTGCGAAGTTGTTCAGGCAATTAAATGAGACGAAGAGTGTCCCGGACGTGCTAGAATATTTGCCAGTGCAGAATTGTGACCGCCAGCCCGGGGGGGGGGGGGGGGGGGGCCTTTAACCTGCATCACGCAGTAGTGATTGCACGAACACACTGTTTTACGAGACTCTTCCAGTTCGAAACGGCCAGGGGCGAGCAGGAGGTTGAGGCTCAGAAAAACCGTGAAGCGACCTGGCAAACTAGCTCGTTACCCCTTGCACGCTGGTAGTAATCCGATCCGGTGAAGTTTATAATTGTCCTGGAGGTTTATTTTCTGGGACGGAGGAATCGCCTCGCAAAAAGCACAAAAGCCGACACAACTCGAGGTCGAGGAGCGTTCTACCATACAAGTGGCGCCGGAAGAGGAAAAACGGGGGGAAAGAGGGCGTGGTCGAGCTTATTTTAATCTGAAATTATTTATGCATATGTATAGCTAATGTCGCTCTTCACTGCATAAAAGGTTGCGTAGATGGTCATTGTTAGAAACTCGTTGTCAGAAGGCACTGCTCGTCACATGCTTAGTGGTTCGGAAGTTCAAAGCTGTCTTTTCGACCTAAACACCTGTGCCGATAGTAACAAAAGAAAAAAAAAAAAAAGAATAAATGCGGGAATAAAAAGCAGGAGAGAAAAAAAACTATCAAGAATTCGTCGGAAGTGTTCTATTCTTGAATATTCAGAGGTTCAGAACTTCGAAACAAGTTTCTTTTACCAAAATGTGTACAGGCTAAAAGAAACACGTCCCAGGAACGTGAAGCGAAAAAAAAAAAAGTTTTCTTTTAATGACGTGCTGAACTTGAACACTACTAGAAATCTTCTCCCATGAGTTAATTTATTCCTTAACGTGAAAAAACAATAAATATATTATTTTGTATTCTGCAGATGGCAATGATATGTACTGTCTGTGGAGTTAATTTAAATGCGATACCTCAAACAACTTAGACGAAAATAAATATCAAGTTTAGGTCATAATTGCATGCAGCTACATGTTTGGACATTTCTTCGAAACTCACGTTGAATAACAATAATCACATCTTAAGACGGCACTTACCTAGGCTATACATAGATCACTCTTAAAAAAGTATAACTTATCTACCATGAATAGCTCCGGCTGCAGCGTGCTTCAAATCTGGCACAAACGATAATCGTCAAAAACCCGTCGTCCTTCCTCGCCCCTTTGGGGATTTATTTTGCCAGAACATTGAAATAAACGACATTGTCTTTCGTAAGGAACGCAGCACCGCGTGTAAAAGTTCGAGAAAAAAAAATTACGAAAATGTACCCCACTACTTGAAATCAAAGGAAACCGTCCGCCGGTCTTTCGAAGTTCGACGAACGTCGAACTTTTACCCTAAAAGTTCGAAGTTCGTCGAACTTCTGACTTTTCAGAATTCGAAAGTTCGAAACTTTTCGAATTCTCTTGATAAATAAGTTCGAAAGTTCGAAATTCATCGAATTTTTTGGTCAGTCAAGTTCGAAAGTTCGACAAGCATCGAACCTTGCAGCGCAATAAATTCGAAAGTTCGAAAAAGATCGAATTTTTGAGCGTAATAAGTTCGACGGTTCGAAAAGCGTCGAACTTCTTAGCTTAACAAGTTCGAAAATTCGACCTCCGTCGAATTTTACGATATAGACAATTCGAAAAATCGAAATCTTTCGAACCTTTCGAACCGCCTGATTCGATCATCGAAACTTCGATTCGAAAAAAGTTCGCGGCATCCCTAGTTACCGTCATTACCTGTCAAGGTTCCTAGACGGCCATTACAAACGAGGCGTTAGCAACATCCACCAGGTGCTCTTTGCTAATTGTTTAATTTGTTTAAAATTCCTTTTCGTGTCTTTTTCAACAAGAGATTGGTGTGTCTGATGTAATAATGCTCCATTGAACATGAATAGACCAAGAAATAAGCACCAAAATTTCACTGTAGTATCCCTTTGATACAGTGCAATACATTTATAATAATAATGAGAAAACCCAAAAATTCAACCGTTATCACCGATTATCGTTGTGTCTGGACTAGAAACTGAGCGTTTCTAGTCTAGAAAATTTAGAAACTGGTTGTTATACGCAGTACATTGTTATATCTGGTATCGTTATATGTGGATTGCACTGTATACACAAAGGAGGACGAAAGCATCACTTGCAAGGTCCATATACACAGAACTCTCAATTGAGCAAACGACGGTTTAACAAATATTTCAGAATAACAAACTTTAAAAAAATTCCCAGCGATTTTCCCAATTCATTTTATGCAAAAATGTTTCAGTTAAACGAATTCGAAATAGCAAATATTTTAGTTAAACGAACTTGATCGGTGGACTTAGGCTTATTTTTGCAATCAGTTTAACGAAGTTTTGTGCTCTGCAGTGCTGGCGTAGCCGATGCCCGCCACCACCGCCTCTGCAGCGGCGCCGTATCACCGCTGGAGTCTACAGCACCGCCGAGGCAAAGTGGCGGTGAGGTAGACGAAAACAAACCACGTGGTGCGTCTGTTTTTTCTTTGTCATGGGTTCCATTCGGACATCTTAGCTTTGGGTAACAACGGCAGGACGGCAGTTTGTGCACCCACTTTCGTACTGAGTACGACGAAACGGAAGCAGTTGTCTCTATCAGACAAGCTCAAAATCCTGCAGCGTCTGGACAACGGTCAAAAGCAAGTGGACGCTGCGAAGGACTATGGGATGCCACCGTCGACGTTGTCAACGATAGTGAAGCAAAAGTCGAAGCTTGAAGGAGAAACTGCGTTCAATCCCAACAAAAAACAACTCCGCACGGGATATTTCAAGCCAGTGGACGACGCCATTGCGGTATGGCTTCGTCACAGCAACAAGCTGTGCCAAAGGAAGTGCAAAAAAAAACATACTCTCTGGACAGCTTTGCTACTTCATGCGCTTTAAGAATGCCGGTACAAATGAAAATTACAGATTTTTTTTTTCAAAATGAGAATGGCAGCAACGTAACTGTTATGTATTTTGTATATGTACATCAATGTATATGATTCCATAGATTGCATTTCACAGTTTTGACTCGATGTATGCTGTGCCCTATGCTGTTCCATATTCAAGTGAATATACAGTAGACTCCCTTTAAGGGGGGACACTGGCTAGAGGCTGAACTACTCAAGTGATTGGAATGAACTTTGCAGGGGAGATTTAACTTCAGATGTAGGCGTACTGTGCAAACTTTGAGCTCTCTAGGACAACTTTACGTACCTGCATATGAAGATGTGTCACTCTTCGTTAAGAAACCTATGATATGCAAATGAAGCTATTAAGCATCATTTTGACCGCTTGAATATAAAGTGGAAGATGTGGGACTTCGGGCTATCTAGCTTTTATAACTCAAATGTAAATATTTCAGGAAGAGTGATTACCTCAAAATATGAGATGCATATTTGTCCTATGTCGATTTTTGAAAACATAGTTTTTTTTTTCAATGTAAACTCTATTTAAAAAAAAAAAAGCAGATAGCCCGATTCCCCAGTAAATTTCAGTTCAGAAAGATTTTGATTGTGGTACCAAAAAAATTTTACCTTCGAACAAAAGATTCTTTCGTATGAAATTTGCAGCAAAAAGTGAAACTGAGGAAATTGCATTCAAACATTGAACTCCATTACTTCGTTACTGCCTCACAATGTGCTGAAAATATTTTATATCAACGGAACTATTTGGCTCATGGTTATGAAATTTAGTTTAAGGGTATATAATTAGTTTCTAAAACCAAAAACCTCTATATTGAAAAATGGATTTTTTCAAAAAATTTTGGAACTTGGGTCTTTCCTTCAGACGAACACGAAGGGACCTTGAAAATTTGTTAGACTTATCAGATGTTTGTCTTAACAGAAGTGCCCTAATTATTGTGCTGGGCATGTCTAAATTGCTGTTGACCAATAAACTCAGGATGAAAAGGACTACAATAAAGAGATACTTAAAAAGGGACATTTATTTGGCTTACCATGCCAGAAGAAGAAAAAAAAAGTTTCACACACCACTGCTGGGGGAACCTATCCGTTTGTTGATTTTTGACTGCCTCCTCCTCTGCGCAAATCAGTGTCTTGTGATGAAAGACGACATGTGGCCAATGTTCCTGAGAAGACCTTCAGAACCTTCTTGTTCCAGGAAGAACTGCAGTAGCACACTTACAGCAGCATCTGCTGCATCAAACGTCACTGGTGGTGCTTTTGACGCAACATCTTCACTGCCGTGTTCGTCATCATCGACGTTTGCAGGCGGCTCAAGCACTTCCTCAATCAAAGTTTCTATACTCTCTGCTCTGCAAGTAGCCACAAAGTCATCAACGGCAATGCATGCCGCCCAACAAAACACCGCTACAGTTCAATGACGAAGCCAGGCTGGTGTCCTCTAGATCAGTGTCCTCCGACAAGTCCTCACATTCACATGGGGCTTCTAGTGAGCAGCTATGCCTTATAAATCCAGCAAGGCAGAAGCAGCTTACAATTGTAGCTTCAGTGACCTGATCCCAGGCATGAAACAGAAGATGGAGGGCACTCAAGAGATTCACCGAGTACTCTTTGCCATTTTCCATGCACAGAAGCATTCGTTGAAGCAGCGATCGTCGATAGTGCCTCTTCAGAGAACTGATTACCCCTTGGTCCATGGGCTGCAGTTTTGCAGTTGAGTTTGGGGGCAAGACCTCAAGCCAGGTAGCCAAAAGTCCGCTGACCTCCCCGTGCCCGGTACAGTTATCAACAAAAAAGAGGACCTTCTTTTTTTTTTTTTTTTCTTTTCCTTTACAAAGCGGCGATCCACCTCGCACAGCCACTGCTCAAAGAGTGCTTGGGTCATCCATGTCTTGAAGTTGGCCGTATAGCTCACCGGCAAAGTTTTCACGTTCTTGAAGCAGGGTGGAGACTTGGCCTTGCCTAATATTAGAAGTCGGAACTTGTCAATACCGCTCATATTAGCACCAAGGAACGTGGTAATTCGCAGCTTGCTGTGCTTGCCTCCGGTGCACACGTCGCCAGCAAACAACAGCGTTTTCTTTGGAAGAAGCTGGTAATACAGCGCAGTTTTGTCAACACTGTAGATATCACCTGGCTCATACTCTTCTAGCAAAAGCGTCATCTTCGTTAGCCTCCAGTCGTCACAAGGCGCTTTGCCAACGGCCAAGGCCTCCCCGCCGATAGAGCGAAACACCAGTCCGTGTCGCTTTCGAAAACGATCAAGCCCCCCCCCCCAGTTGTCGCTACATATAAAATCTATGTTCAAGCGCTGTGAAATTTCCTCTACTTTGGTGCACAAGATGGTTACATTTGCAGGCAACTTGTCACTCCGTGCTCGCCGAATCCACGCGATGAGAACTGCTTCCAGGGTTCCATGTGCGGCTGTGCGCATTCTCTTTCGCTTTGGTGCGAAGTCGGAGTGACGAGGGATACCACCCGTATCCCTCGCCACTCTGGCGCCCTCCTTCTCCCCCCTTCCCGAACACCGCAGTGGCGCCTACATCAGTGCAGTGCCATCGCGAAGGGGACCTATGGAAGTTCGAGTTAACCAAAATGCATGCGCAAAGCGGTTTGTGTTAAACAATTTTTTTTTTTTTTTCGTTGCGCTGGGAAATTAATTAAATCTTCTTACTTTGTTCAGCATATCTGTGAATTCAGCTTAAGCGAGTTTGCTTTAACGGGAGTCTATTGTGTTCAGTTTAGTGAACTTTCAGTTAAGTGAACTATTTCCTTGGGTCCCTTGAAGTTCGCTCAAGTGAGAGTTTACTGGACCTAGTGTTTTTCTAGCTTTATTTCGTAGTAAAACACTGACATCAAGCATAGCATAAGACAAATGAAGTTGGCAAGCACTCAAGCACCTTCAACTCGTTGCAGCAAGATGAACATAGCTAATCCATTGTCTTTCTTTTTCTCCCCATCTGTTGCTCTCTCTCCCGCTCTTTCTCTCGGAACCATCGATGTCCGCACTTACAACTTGCCGCGTTCTGCTCCCATCTTTAGACCCCTAACCGTCTTTTATGGCCAGAATGCCAGTGAGTAAAAAGGCACCTGAAGCAGACGGGGTTGCTGCAGCAGGGGCATGCGGTCGCCTCGCCGAGCTTCATGGCCCCCTGGTCCTCCGCAGACAGCTTGGAGTCCCAGATGAAGTCGCACTCAGGCGTTGGGCAGCTCTGCCAGCGGCCACTGCCTTCCACCACCGTCCCTTTGATGGATCTCCGCACCAGGGCACGCAAGACTTCCGCGTCATTACCGCTCGTCCGGTGGATGTCGGCTATGGCCCACGGCTGGCCGCACTCCTGAAATAGGATTTTAGGGGTTCGCCGTATCTTCTGGTGCATTAGACCTATTCGCGGCGAGAAGTTTCGGTGTCGTCATCTAGCGGAAGCCTGGCACAACACAAGGCCTCCCGACCCTCTCAACACCGCCGCCACTTCTCAGAGCTGAATGGGCTTTTGTTCAGCCTCACTCTTTTTTAGAGCGCAGCTCTTAGGCGCCCGTTTCCGGCATGAGCGGCATCACCGTCGCCGTTGGCGTAACCGCGCGGTGCATTATGGGTAAATTTTTTCGAAGGGACCCGAGGTCCTCCTGAAGGAACCCGAGGTCCTCCCGAAGGAACCCGAGGTCGTCCCGAAGGAACCCGAGGTCCTTAGGGAGGACCTCGGGTCCCTTCGGGAGGACCTCGGGAGGACCTCGGGTTTCTTCGGTAGGACCTCGGGTTCCTTCGGGAGGACCTCTGGAGGACCTCGGGTTCCTTCGAGAGTTGCATGCAACAGGCTGCATGCAACTGGCATACAACGAGTTGTATGCAACCTGTTGCATGCAATCCACGTTGCATGCAACCTGATGACGTCATCGTCATCCGCATCGTCATCATCACTGATGACGTCATTGGCATCCGCATCGTCATCGTCATCATCACTGATGACGTCATCAGTGACGTCACTGATGACGTCATCAAATCGTCATCGTCAAGGTCACGTAACCCCCGGAGGTCACGTGACCCCTCGCGGGCATGTGACCCCTGAGGTCACATGACCCCCTAAGGTCACGTGAACCCCCTGAAGTCACGTGACCCCCTGAGGTCACGTGACCCCCTTGACGTCACCAGACCTCCCATGAGGTCACGTGACCTTAAGGAGTCACCTGTCCCTCAGTACGCTTCCATCCTCCTCAAGAGCTGCGCTCCAACCGGCGTTACAGGGAATTCTAAACGGCTTTCATTTTTTTTTTCTTAACATGTTTTTGCATTTGTTCCGGACGATCACAAATTCTGCGTCTGGCAAGTCTTCATCCCCGGCTTCAATGCTGCTGACTGAAGTGTTTTTGCTTTTGTCCTGGGCAAAGCACAGTGAAGACATCCATTTTTAACTTGCTAATAATTTAAATTTAGATTCTTTCTTTTTATTCTAATTGACGATTTCAGAAAAATTCCTTGTGCCACTTCCTTGGAGAACAATCAATGGCACCATTGTGGTCCGGGTTTCCTGTCTTAAGATAAACTTTCTGGTTTAATATCCCAATAGTTGCATGTTTAAAAAATCAGGGGCAGTTCTGCAACTATTTCCTTTTATACAAATCCTGGACTTTACCAAGCTTAATAACATTATTAGGGGTGTGCGAATATTGAAAAGTAGTTATTTAATCGAATTAATAAAAAAAAGCCGAACATCAAATCAAATATTGAATAGTGATTTTATTTGTAGGAAATTTTAAAAGTGTGCTGTAAATGAGAATATTATATGTGCAGAGTATGTGCCTGGTGCAGAATATGCATCTCGTATGGTACAAAAGATAAAATGTTAACAAGTTCTGGTGAAAAAAGAAAAAAAAACAGCTGCTGATGGACGTGGGGCACTAAAGATCCAATTTTATGGTGCAAACATAATCTATCTACCCTAAGCGTCACAAAAAACTTGAAGGTATAGCCACGCATGCCTTTTTTTCTTGTTAAAAGCATGACCTAACACTGCGACATGCCCTTCTTTTATATCTGTATATCTCAGAAAAGTGGCTTTTTGCAATGTTTGGTTTCAATGTTAAGGGGGGACACTACCCAATAGGGTTAACTTTTTAACGTATGGCTTAATATGAATGAAATTTAGAGTATATACTGGAAGTTGCAAGGCAGAATGCAGTGCAAAGTTTCATCAGTGTACATGAGTTGTAAATTAACTTGTAGTAATTTTTATCAGGAACACACCGACTTTGTTTAGGAAAACTATCGTTAGGAAACTAATGTAATACCAAACATTTTTCCACTCTAGATCTCTAGCAGAATGCCTAGGGAGTTCAGCTGTGAAAAAAAAATTTCCAAAAAGGAATTTACTTCATGCTAACATCGCAGTGAAAAATCAAATAAATTTTCTTTGCCTTTTATGTCAAGCACAAAATCTTAACATCTTTTATAAAAGACATCCACAAAGTCAAAAAACAATTCCATAGTTGCACTGCCCATAAAATTCCACTTGGGAAAAGCAATAAGCGAGTCTTTCCTCTTGTCCTATTAACAAACAATAGTTTTCCTAAAATGAAGTTTATGCCAAAATGTGGAACGGAGAAAAATGTGTTCAAAGTGTTCCAACCCCTACCTTTTTTTAGCTTCAATGGACCGAAAATAATTTACAAAAAATTAACTATGCGCTGTAAACTAATGAAACTTTCTGGGAATACTCTCCAGGTGCTGGTGGATGTAAATATGACATTTTTCAAAATCAATTTTTTTTGCAGAAAAAATTTTTTTTGGGTAGTGTCCCCCCTTAAGGGCAAAAGATGGCATTTGGGATTTTATTTTATATAAATAAACAAATAGGTGTTAAGTCCGAGTAAGCAGGCATAAACAATATATGATCTGAAGGTAGGTGGCGCAAGTCGCCGTATGACAGACGCTATGCATCCATTCCTCCGTCCATCTATCCTGTTTTAGAGAGCCTAGATTTAAAAGAGGGAGCAAGAGAAACTGAAACCACGAAGACGGCTCCTGCGCAGATTAGTCGTAAGTCCGTAAGTGAGAGTGCGTGTGTATTGGTGTTGTCGTGTGGAAAGAAGGCGAGCAAACGGAAGAGCAACGACGCCTGCCTGATAGACACTTTCGTCTTTTCGTCACCTTCTCACAGTTTTTGTATTTCAAACACAGCTATTGAGCGGTTGGAACCCCTCTCAAATTCACGCACACAATTTTTCCGTTTCGTTTCGTTCCGAATCCGAACTTGCAGCTTGCGGTTCCAATACAACGACGACGACAACTCGGCTGGTTTCATCGGCATGGTTAACGCAGTTTTCTTTTTGTGATCTTGCAGTCGCCGATTTCTGTGAGTGTGGCGTGTTCTACATCAACACTTCAATTTGAAACGAGGGGCATTACTTGTGAAAAGAATTAGGCATGGCGTGGAATTCTGGCTTTCCAACATTCCTCTTTGGAAGCGGCACAAACGGGATGTTCTGGTTGCGATTCGAGGTTAAATTATGTCATGAGCGTGATTAAATCTGCGTGCTATAAAGTTTGTGGCGTTCGTTACTTCTCATTTTTCTAACCTGTGCGTTATATTTTTGTGGAATGGTAGGATCAAAAAGAGTTTCTCACATGATCTGTCTAACATCATTGCGCTAAGATGAGGAGAAAAAACGCCTAATTTGTCAGCTGCGCGCGTCTTTGGCCGAATATACTAAATATTCCAGTGACCAAATACTGGGAATTCAATTCACACATCGAATTATTCGAGAACTTGCTATCCGATTCGAATTTGTATATTCGAGTATTTGCACACCCCTAAAAATTATCAGCAGCACCACGTTTATTATTTTGGTCATTATGGTGAAGAAGTGAATGCTCCCAGCATATAAAGTGTGGATGACAATAAGTTTTGACAGAGTAAATGCAGAAAAATGTTGCATTCTGAAGAGGCACACAGTTTAAAAGCCCAACTTGAATTAAAGACAAAACGAAAACAAACCATTATACACAATAAAAATTAAAAAAAAAAATAAAAACATAGGCAAGCTTTTAGTGGAAATTGTTTTGTCAAATTATCTTTCTCGACGAGTCGTTTCGTTAAGATTGAGCATTTGAACTAACAAATCATTTGGTCGAGAACTAATGCTTCAATCGCAGCAAATTTGAGTCGTTACACAGATGTGAATTTTATGTGATGATCAGAATGACAATATCATTAAGAAAGGAAATGCAGAACTTTTTTATATCTGACCTGCGAGTGAAGAAAGCACTTCTGTAGTCCAGTTATAATTACTGTCAATAAAACGCAACAAGAATTAAGATCACAGCCAATATTTTGGGACATTACACAACATTTTGTTCTGCTGGCCATAAGCCGTCTAGAATAATTAACACTCGTAGCAGTGAGCGTAAACGTTCAGCAACGCACCTTTCATTGCAAGAAAAAAAAAAAATCCCAATGGCGTCTACATGTAGGCGAAATAGTGAAACGTCCAGCATACCAAGTTGCTTCTATATTTCTCTATCACAACACTGCGCTGCAGCTGCTGCACCGTAAGAAAGGCAAGAGTTTGCTTTGGACAAGATAAAGAAGATTCTTTATTCTTTCATCTTTGCAGCGCGACAGGTGACACGGACAACACGGAGAAAGAGGCTCAGGTGCGGGGAAAAAGAATTGGCAGGCCATCGGATTATCGTTTTCGCGGAGTACCCCCAATGGAATCCGTATGGAGGACGACAGATGTTCAAGAAGAAAAGCAAAACATAATACGAAATACAACACGATTCGTCATGAAAGCATCTGATAAGTGGTCTGAGCACGCTGTCGTGCTCACCCACACTTTTTTTGCCCGTTTTAATATCATATATACTTCCTCAGTTGTTTTTCTCTTAGTTAAAGGCGGGCGCTCAAAATTTTCTTCAGCGTGGCAGAAGATTCCCACTCTTTTCTTTTTTTCCTCCTCCCCTTTCCTCCTCCATTTTCCTCCTCGCTTTTTACGGCCTTCTCGCACGAGTGCTAATGGGCTTACCCTAGGCTTACCGGCCCCCCGACAAAATCTCTGTAACCCGTCAAGGTTCTCTGCTTCAATCCCAAACATCTCACGGATTAGTTAGGCAGGCCGGATATGAGTTCGGCAGGGTTCGGGCTAACTCGCTTTTCTCCTTTTTTTTTTTTTTTTTTTCACTTTTGTTGCATTTTTAAAACACACTCAGATAGTCAACACCAACTAGCCCAAGAACAAGTTCTTTTACATTCAGATACTTCCGCATGCGGCCACATACGCTACAACACCGCATATTTATCTCGAGTGAACGGAACTTGAACATAACAGTAGAAGGAAAAAAGATAGGTATTTTTATTTGAACTTTGAGCTCTACCCAAATTGGTCGTTCTTACAACGGCACACTGAAGAGTGATTGCATCACTATCGTGTTTTTTCTTTTTGTTTTTTGTACGAAGTAATAATCATGAGTAATTACAAGTCAAAGATATTGCAGTCAGAGGGACACAGTGTGACCATTTCAGGGGCATAATATATAGGTTTGTACCACAGGTTTCTTCTAGAGTGACGGCCGCCTCGTTAAAGCTACTAAGAAGAGTAAAAACAAACTTCCATAAAAAGTAAAACGGTTTATGGTATATTTCATCTATCTTCAGCCTTTAAAAAAAAATTTCTTCGTGGGGAAACATACATTTAGTTTCTGTCAACAATTGTAACTGAAAACTCGACAGCCGACAAAAATCTTGCGTATCAGCAAAGAGAATGAGCAAACATTTGATACCAAATAAAAGAGATTTAGCATTCACCAAATTCGGCTTGTTTACTTGATTCAAATAGATGTTTGATTTGATTACATTTGTTGTGTACCTGCACACGCCTACTTTATTGCCTAATGAGTTACAAGTGATAATTACATTGTTTGTTTGTTTGTTTTTTTTGTCGTGCGAGACCATCACAATTTAATATAAACAATCGGAGCTATGCGATTGCGCGGAGGAGGCGCATTTGACGATATTCAAAATTGTTCTGAATACACAAACAACTTCAAACATCTTGCTGTTTGGGTCCTTTTCTACACGCAGGACCGATAATAAAGCCAAAACCTTATAGGGGAGACTATCTCTACCAACTCAATGCGCAAACACGATGTGAAGCGTGTCCGCGTGCGTTGGAAAAGAGATACCGGCGAGCAAACCATAGCGTCGAATGTCTATGCATCAAAATGTCCGTGCACCGAAATATCCGCGCACGGAAAAGTACCACACCGAAAAGTCTTTGCAGCAAAAAGTCCGTACACTGAAATGTCTGTGCACCAAAACGTCCGCAAACGAAATGCCCTACAGCAAAGCGCTCTACACCGAAAAGTGCTAGACCCACTACGGATGGGATCCTCCGTCACCTCTGCCGGTTTACGAACCATGATTCAGAAATCTATGGAGCGTTATCCCTGATTACAGAAAACGACGCTCGTACTTCCCGTCGTCGCCATGAATCCGCCTAAACAACGAAAGATGCCAAATCAGATATTTATATTAAAATTGATAATCCAATGATTACTTCTTTGAGCAGAACAAGGCATTTGTGCTCTCACAACAGCAAAGAATCGTCTTCCAAACCAATGCTAAAAAAGAGCCAATGCAACTCGTCGGGAAGAGCAAGTGCCAAGCTCGCTCAAAACAGCTACTCGGTTGGTTCAGCTCCTTGTCGCAGGTCTGCCGGCTGGCTTCTGGACAATCTTTTCAAATCCTTGAAGCTTTCATTTCCTCCACCCCAAACTTGTAAAAAAAAAAAAAAAAAAAAAAAAAAAACAGGCAGCCGGCAAAAAAACAACAAAAAAAAAATCAGAAAATGGCGAGGAGGAAACGAGAGACGATTTCCTCCTTTCACAGTGGCGAGAAGGAAAGTGAGGGTCGGATTCCTTCTCTCTGCCTGCGGGCCGGCCTTTAAGAACGGAAACTTACCCCCTTTCGGTTGCGTTTGTTGTGCAACCGGTGACAAGAGAATAGACCACCGCACCACATCCGAGAGCAAGCGATCACGTAGTACCGCTATGGCGTGCACGATGCAAACAAACCCGGCATCTTCATATTCTGGGTATAATGTGACATTCACATGCTGCTCAGTGGCGCCAAATATGATATAGCTTCGCCAATACCGGAAACTCCTCCGAAAACCTATGGGAGCGGCGGCGAACGTGACAGTGGCGCCTCTAGCGGATTCGGAGTCTACGGAAGCAGACGACGCAATGGAAAAGTATAGGCTCTGCGACGTCCTCGAGCTTTGCGAGCCCCATTTCTTCACCCCAACACCTGAAACAATTCATTGCGGTCAACCCGTTTGCGAAGCGGAATCCACTGATTGCAACTGCAACGACAAATAAAGAACAATGCGCGCATAAACAAAGGTAGAGCAGTTTATTTAGAGGTCTCGAACGCCACTCAGGGGGATCACACGCGTTTGAAGCGCATCTGGGAAGCGGAAAAAAGGCGTTTAGCCACTCGAACTACATCGTAAGAAGTTACTGTTTATCTGTTACAAACTGCGTTGTCACAATTTCTTACCTGAATAGGTGATTATTGAAACGTGCGCAAACAACATGTTAAAATTACCAGAGCAAGCGCACCAGCCTCTGCAGCATTACAAAAACAAAAAGTAACGAGAAAAATGACCGTTCAAACACTTTCCGAACATTGCAGAAAAGATGGGGTTCCCATCCCAGAAAAAATAAAAAGGAATGGAGGACAGTAGCGAACAGCGGCCAGCGGTTGCAACGAAGAAGTTAGCAGACGATACAAAAATATAAATCACCTAGCAAAGACCTGCTTCAACGACGACGATCACACGGGGCGTCGGTTGAACATTTGTAGTAGGTGGTGCTCGCCCTCGGTATTGAGTCCACAACAAACAAAGCGGAAGGAACACAACGAAACTATTTAAAAAAAAAGAGCTTCACCTTTTTTTTCAGCTGCACGTTACGCGTGTGTTTATTTGCTTTCGCGGCGTTTGTAGGAGCTAAGAACAACAGGTACAATCTGCTACGTGCTAGCAGTGTGTGACCTTTTTTGCTTTCGCTTTTCTTTTCTCAGTGACTTTGGCAGGCTGTTTGTTTGCTCGCTTGGCGCAGCAGTTCAAAAGCACATTCCAGTACTTGTTGGCGTACATGTCCAGGCAATCCTTGCACATCGTGCCTTTGTTTTGAGTGTCGATCAGCGGCCTCAAGTGCGTTTTCAGCTGAACTTTTGTTTGGCGAAATATTCGTCTGTTCAGGCGTCAGTGGTGATTTTGAAGCCAGACTTGAATAGCTGTTCCAGTTTAATTTGAAGTAACTTAATTACTCACGTTTGTTCGGTCTTCGGGAAGCGGAAGAAGGATTTTCCACCACATCAGAAAAACTTGTTTTCGCAGTAGAGATGGTAGGCACATGGCATGCCTGCCATCTCCAATTATGCGCTTGTGTGTGCCCGAAGGCGGCCGGTTGATCAACCAACGATGACTCATAGCAGACGTCACCGCATACTCAAATAAAATACAAATACAAATGTATTACGAGCTTACACTTATTAATATATTTATTAAGTATCAAAAAGTAAAAATGAAGATTTTGGATCAGAAACTCAATCGAAGGCGAACATAGGATGTTATCATAGACGACTGTGGAAAAACAACAACAACAAAGTTGCAATTGGCCTTCCAAATGTCCAGGCATAGCGTAGCAGACGAACCGGTGGTAGTAAGCGACGAAGCGAAGGAAAAAAAGTAAGAACTAATCCAAACAAGGCTAAGCAAAATATGCGATGGTTCGAACGTCAAGTAAGCACAAGAAAGAAAAAAAGTAAACAAAAAACATAAACGCGGACGAAGAAAGACCGCGCCGGCCTAGCGTCGCCTCAAACATAAAAAGAAAGTAGACTTTGAAAAATGGAAGGAGGTGCACGACCGTCCATCGGGTGTTCTTTTTTGTAACTCCACTTTTATTAGTTTCAGTAATAGCGTCAGATTTGCATGTGCACGGTCGTCTTTTTCCAGAGCATACTGATATCGCAGGGAGGTACGTGGTTTGAAATTGCTTTTTGCTTCTTCATCCAGAGACGATCGGGAAATAGCCAGCTCACCTATTCGACGAAACGGTTTTAAGCAATACAATCATGAGAATTGAAATTGCAACACCAAACAGAACTGATCGAAATGCACAGTAAAGTTGAAACGTAGCAGTGTTCTAAAACATTTTTTTACAATGCCCTTTTCAAAGAAAGAGGGCAAAGGTATATTTGTGTCTTGCCTGGCAGACATAAGTTCCGAGTCTTCTGATGGAATATTTTCTTTAGGAGAGCCCGAAAATTGCACCCTACAAGCTGTAACATCTTCCCCTCGCGAAGAAAATGTCCTTGACTCATGAGGTGGAACCTATTTTTTAAAATTCAAATCAGCGAATAGCTGTGACAATTTTTTTTCATTGCTCACCTTGCATGGAGATAGGCAAAACCAATGCATTGTGGAGAATTCGTCTGCTAGCGGAGACTCCGAGCTCGCCAGGGGCACTGCGATCACTTTTCGCCCGCGATCCGCGGGAGTTGCCAGTATTGGCTTACATGGTACTTGGTGGCGCCCTTTAGCGTGGTTCTCGCCGCGAATACTCGTTTTCATCTCAAGAACCGTAAAAATATGTCCGGCTCCTCGCATTACTAATTTCCCTCTTTATGTAGAGAATTAAGGTATACTAATGTAGGTCCATTTCAGACTGGACATATTTTATCAAGATGTACACGCTTCAAACGCCAAAAGCGTCGCTTCTTCCCCTGACAATCAAACCTTGTGAGAACTACTTCGTACGGCGTATGAAGAATGCGAAAAATTACTTCTTTCTTGAGGTGAAAAAGAGTATGGGACTCTTCGTTTTTGAGGCTTATTTTTATTCAAATTGGGGGGTGTCTTTTTCCCAAGGATGCGGTGTTTTTCGGTGTCAACCTTCGTCGTCAGACAAAGACATTGGTGTTTATTGGGGGATTGTGTTTGTCAGTGCGCAGAAAGGAAGACTTGCCTCAAAGCAGCAGGAGAGGGGGATGGGGCCCTGGTACAGCACAAGCAGCCGGCAGGGCGGGCAGTATGCGTGTCCGCACAGCTCCAGTCGATCGAGGTCCACTCCCTGCTGCTTCCCGGGCGGGAAACCTTCGCGGCAGACGGGGCACTTTTCAGTACCCGCTCCCGCGATGCAGGGGCTAACAAACTTCCTCTGCAGCTTTCCCAAGAGCTCCTCTGCCTGCACGGAGAGGGACCCGAGAAAGATGGGGCATTTCAGAGTCTCCCCTACATTTCTCGAAACGTTGAACCAAAAGCAGAGGCTTTTTGTTTCTTCAACCTCCGATTGATTGGATGAAAAACAAACGAGAATGATGAAAAATGTTTTAATGTACACAAAATCTAGATACATACTGTAGCTGCTTCTCCACCTAATCGCCACACAGATTTAGGCACCTGTTGCGATGTGGCACAAGCTTTCGAGGCGCCCTCCCCAAAGAAGGCTGTCGCCTAGTTTCCGAGACATTCCGTCAAGCAACAACACGACCGCCAACTGCTAAGGAAGGTGCAATGCCTAACGAGGAAAGTGCATGAAGTTTTGGGGAGGATAAACAGAGGTGCACAATGTTGGGGGTCAGGGACAAAACGTCTGCGGCAAACTTCTTTGAGGAGGGCGTCCTGAAATCTTGTGCCATGCCACAAGAAGTGCCTAAATCTGCACAGAGATTAGGTGGAGAAGTAGCTATAGCATGCATCTGAATTTCGTGTGCATTCAAACAATTTTCATCGCTCTTAAATATTTTAGCCAGTTCATAGGAGGTTGAAAAAAAAAAAAAAACAGTACACGTATGAACTGGTACGGTTTACATGGAGATAAGTCAGCTTGTCCTATTCTCACCAGTTTCAGTATGAAACAGTGTGAGCAGGTTTTGTTTAAAATATGAGCACAGATGCATGGTGCCTAATGAGGAGACAAGTTGGGTGCAAAGCTGCGCTAGGCGAGTGAATTCTTTTACTTAAAGGCCGACTTACGAAACCATTTTCCGCAGGGTAGGAAAGTGCTCCCCAACGACCTTCGCTCCCTCCCCTCTCGCTCTCCTTCCTCCTCCTCCCCTGAAAAGGGCGGGTCCGGAAGCTAGTCTCTGTGGAAAGGAGAAGGGGTATCCTCCTTTCTGGGTGGCAAGGAGGAAACCTCTTCTCCCGCGGAAAATGGTTTTGTAGGTCGGCCTTTAAAGGGAAGATGGGGCACTTCTGCATTTGAGAAAAAACACTTGAATTGCAATCATTTGGCCCTTAGAATAACAGATATCACAAATATATTTCAATGCCACGCGCCGAAGAGCCATAAGAGTAGTTTCAAAATAGGGCTGAAGCCCCGCCTCCCTAACCTTGGGCAGCCAAAAGATCCGTCAAGACGTCATGTAGAGTGACTGTCTTTCGGATTTTCTCGCGTTTAACAGTACTTGTGCAGCAAATGGTTTGGGTATTCGGGTTCACGGGATAAAAATACACTAGAATTCACTTCTAACTCATTTTTTTCAAGAAGCTCCGTAGCTTCCCTTTAAGAGGAGAAACAAATTAAAAAACAAAAATATTTTGCAAAAAAATTTATCTTTGGTTATATGATATTTTATTATCTTTGAATCTTCATATTTAATGCATAAAAATAATAAGTGCCGGTAGTGATTGCAAAATTAGCCGAATACGCATTTGAAGATCTCCAGGCAACACAGAATGGCATGAATTTTAGCCATGTTTCTGTGCGCAGTTTTTCAAGTTGTGATGTCGCCCACCTTTACATTTACGTTGACAAGTAGGCCTAGCCGTCTCCTCTCCCTGGCAGCCTTTTGTAGCTTCAATTTATCACAAAAAATTATTAACAAGAAATTATTTTTCCCACCACAAAGGAGTACAGCTGGCTACGTAACATTAGAAGGCGTTTTTCTGGTCATGCAATTTTGGGGCATCTTCACAGTTCGCACAAAAGAATTATATTTCTTAATATTGTCCTATCACAACCAAATTTGCATGCATATACTTTAGAATATGTAGAGTGCAACACTCTAGGTCTGGTTAGAATGTAACTTTTTTTTATATATGTGATAAATACAAGCTTTACTGTCAGCTTTAGAGTGTGGACGGTGCGTCCATCGCGGTTCTCGGTCCAGGAACAAGTGCCCGAGCTCTCACTAGCACGCGATTGTCACGAGGCTCGCGGCATCGGCTGCTTAGTCCACCTGCCGGTGGCGCCGGTACATAACACCTCTTCCCCCTCAGATGTAGCTCCCATAGCGTTCTGGAGGGTGCCTATTTCTTGGAGGTTGCTCCCTTCTTCCGCTTCCGGCGTCTGTCGTATGTTCCGGCGTTGTCTCGGAATTATCTTGAAATGACGATCTCTCGGTAGGGTGATCGTGTTGAGAGTCCGAAACAGGAGCAGGAACAGACCACTCAGCCGATGGAGTCGATGTCGTAAATCGACGCCTTATTTGATCCACGTGGCGGCGGGTTGATCCAGTTGCTGTCTCTACCAGCCAGGAGCGAATTCCAAGTCTTTTGGTCAACTTTCCTTGGATCCACTTGGGGGTTCCTTTGAAGTTTAGGACATAGACTGCCTGTCCCTCTTGAAATACCCTGGAAGGCGGTGTCTTTTCCATATCTCGTTCCTTGTGACTACTTTCTCGACGAGGAAGGAGTCTACTGATGTTAGTAGCAAGCTCCCTGTTGAACATTAAAAATGCTGGTGTTTTTCCTGTCGAGCTGCAAACTGAGTTGTGTTGTTTGTACAGGAATCTAGCAATTCTCAGTGAGAGCGATCCCGTTTTCTCTCTTGACAAACTTTGCTTAAGTTCGTAAACCAAGCGCTCGGCTTGGCCATTTGTCGCTGGATGGTACGGAGCGCTGGTCACAAACTTCACGCCATTCTTTTCATAAAAGTCTGTTATCTCCTTCGATACGAAGACGCTTCCGTTGTCGGAAACAATCTTGCGAGGCAGTCCAAAAGTTGCGAACATACCTCGGAGTTCTTTGATGACCGCTGCAGATGTGGCACTAGTCATGCTTCGCACTTCTAGCCACTTCGTGTAGGCATCTACAACGACAAGGAACATGTTTCCTTCCAGAGGGCCTGCAAAGTCCAAATGCAGCGTGTCCCAAGGAAGTGATGCGTGATCCCACGTAGGAAGCGGTGCCTTGCTTGGTATCTTCCTGGACTCTTGGCAGATGGGGCAGCTGCCAACAGCGTCCTCTATGTCGCGGTCGATGCCAGGCCACCACACATAGCTGCGTGCAGATGACTTCATGGCCACAATTCCCTTGTGTCCAGCATGCACTAAATTCATGGCTTCAGGTCGTGCCAAGGCTGGTATGACCACCCGGGATCCCCATATGACACATCCTCTTTGAGTGGACATCTCTGCGCCTTTTTTTCTGTACGCGGTAAAGTCCTTCTCCGTGAGCTCATGAAGTTTGCCTTGCTGCACAGCCTCGTAGACGCGGGACAGAATCGGATCTGCGCATGTCATGGCTGCTATCTTATCTGCTGTCAGCGGAGAACTTGTCAAGGCTTCAATCATCAAGACGTCTCCCGGTGAGCAAGGCTCGTCGTCACTGTCAGGTAGGGGCAGACGGCTTAGAACATCCGCGTTCTGGTGTCGTTTTCCAGGCCTGTACACGAGTTTGTAATCGTACGCCGACAGTTTGACGCACCATCGCCGCATTCGGGGTGACAAGACTTGTGGTACCGGCTTCTGCGGTCCCAAGATGCCAAGCAGTGGTTGGTGATCGGTGATAATAACGACACTTCGTCCGGCGATGTATTGGTGAAAGTGCATCGCCCCAAACACCACTGCTAATCCTTCTCGATCAAGCTGTGAGTAATTTTTCTCGGCATCCCCTAGAGTTCTTGACGCGAATGCGATTGGAGCTTCCCTGCCCTCGTGGTCGACCTGCGCAAGAACTGCGCCGACGCCATATGGTGACGCATCACAGGACAGAAGCAGTGGTTTTGACTCATCGTAGTGAGCCAACGTTGTCTTGCGGAGTACCAACTCTTTCAACTTCCGGAAAGCGAGGGCATGGCGCTCTTCCCAGTGCCAAGGGACGTTCTTGGCTAGTAGTCTGTAGAGATCGCAGGCTACAGTCGCTCGGTTTTCTAAGAACCTGTCGTAGAATGCGAGCATTCCGAGGAACGACTGCAGCGTGGCTTTTGAGGTAGGTTCTGGCAACTCCCTGAACGCCTTGATCTTGTCGTTGGTTGGATGAACACCAACCGCATCGATCGTGTGGCCCAGGTAAGTGACCTCAGGAACGCCAAATAGGCACTTCTCACGGTTTGCTCGCAGGCCAGCTTCTTGGAGTCTTGACAGGACAAGGTTCAGGCGCTGGGCGTGTTCCGCGGTTGTGGCACCGCTGACAATGATGTCGTCCAGATACACGCTGACACCGGATATTCCTGCAAGTGTTGTCTCCATGCATTTCTGGAAAATGGCTGGTGCTGCCGAGACGCCGAAAGGAAGTCGTTTGACACGATAAAGGCCCTTTATCGTGTTGATGGTAAGAACGTCAGCTGTGTTCTCGGTGACTCGTAACTGCTGGTATGCTTGAGCCAGGTCGATGGTGGAGAAAATTCCCCCTCCCCGCAGCTTTGCGAGCACCTCTGTCACTGTCGGCAGTGGATATGACGCCTTGAGCGTCACAGCGTTGACGGTGCTCCGGTAGTCACCACAAAGTCTGATGCTGCCGTTTTTCTTCCTTACTACTACAACGGGTGTTGCCCAATTCGAGTGCTGAGTCTGTTCAAGGATGCCTTGTTCCGTGAGACGTTGCAGCTCGGCTTCCACCGCTGGTTTGAGCGCGAATGGCACAGTGCGAGCTCGTAGAAACTTGGGTGACGCGTTGTCTTCCAGTTCTAGGCTTACCGCTGGTCTGTTGTAGCCGTTCAGGTTTCCGTCAAAAACTGACCCGTACCTTTCGATGGTGGCTGTCAGGCTGCCGTCCAACACCACCTGGTGCACGCCGCTGAGGCCAATTCCCAGGGCTGCAAACCAATTCCGCCAAAGAAGGTTACATCCGGGGTGCTTCATCACAAGAAGAGGCAAATTCACTTTCAGTTTCTTGAACTGGACCATGACGTGAATTGTTCCCAGAGATTCTATGCCTTCCCCAGACCAGGTACGCAGAGCGATGTTATCGTCTGTAAATTCCGGAGGGTTTCTTGGCCACGCTGCTCGGAAAGTTTGTTCGCTGATCAAAGAAAACGCCGCTCCCGAGTCCACCTCAAATCTGAGAGGAACACCCTGAACCTCCAGGCTTATCATAACCTTCTCTGCCGGCTCCCGCCGCGGTGTTACGGCGTACAAGTCACCCAGCGTGCCTGACGGTTCTGTAAAGGGGCCATGATTTTCCTGTGGTTCGAGTGCCTGTACGGAGTTTTGGCTGTTTTTCTTTCTCTTGAAGCAAGCTTTCGCGATGTGTCCCGTCTTTTTGCAGTACCGACACTGCGATGTTCGGAACTTGCAAGAACTAGGACTGTGGAGTTCTTCGCAGCGATAGCAGGGCGTGGACGATGGCGTCGTCTTCTCCTGGCGACGATGCGCCGGACGCGTTTTTTCCGCTTTGTTTATTTCTTGAAAATCTGCTTTTATTTGCCGCTGGTGGTCCTTGGCGCTCTCGGCTCGTACGGCAATGTCGAACGCCTTGAGAAACGTAAGGTCCCGCTCCGCAAATAGCCGCTGCTGGAGATTTTCATTTTGAAGACCGCAAACAAACGATCGCGCAACATTATGTCCATGGGTAACATCGTCGCGTTGCTGGAAACCGCTGTTGTGACCGTGCTGACCGTGCCGTCGGCTGCCCCAGCAGCTAGTGCTGAGACGGGAAGGCTAGCTGTGCTAGTCGTCGGAGTCACTTGAACGTTCCCAAAATTGCAGTCTGCTGCAAGTTTCTTAAGAGCAGCGACGTAAGCGGTCACTGACTCTTCGGGCTGCTGATCTCGCCGTTGGAACTTGCAACGGCTGAACAGTTCTGCCGGCCAGGGATCAAAATGTGCTTGGAGCAAATTCACGATCTCCTCGAAAGTCAACTCACTTGGAGACCTGGGAGCCACCAATGCCTTGACCGTTTCAAATGTGGAGGGACCACACAGAGTTAGCAGAACGGCCCGTTTCTTGGTGCCATCCCTGATGCCGTTGGCCTCGAAGTAGTAGATGAGCCGCTCCGCCCAAGATGACCACCCCTTTCCCGAGAACGCTTCCATGGTGCCGTGAGTCGCCATCTTCTCAAAGCCGCAGGTTCCTTTCTCTCACTCGTCGCCAATTGATAAATACAAGCTTTACTGTCAGCTTTAGAGTGTGGACGGTGCGTCCATCGCGGTTCTCGGTCCAGGAACAAGTGCCCGAGCTCTCACTAGCACGCGATTGTCACGAGGCTCGCGGCATCGGCTGCTTAGTCCACCTGCCGGTGGCGCCGGTACATAACAATATGGTATATGAAAAATTTAAGAAAATTTTGTTAGCCCCTTGAAAAACAGTGTTCTTGCATTTTTTGATTATTTTAAAATAGAACAAGTCTCGCACAATTAGTTCTGTTGTCCATTGCACTCAGGGGTTTAAAAGGAGCAAATTAGTTTATTTTACTAGGCTCTTTGAAGTCTGTTGCCGTGCTGCATGCGTACACAAGAACTTTTTTTTTTTCTGCATGCACATTGCATTTAGAACATAAAAAGCAAGCCTTATCTAGGTTTGCCAAGAAAAAATCAAGCACTATAAACTGTGAAAATTTCATTTAGTTATCGTAAATAATAAAAAGAAAATGCTTCCCCTGGCACATGTTCCCTTGATATTTTTTTTATCGGGGAGATAAAGACGGGAGCAGAATGTGGCAAATCCTGAGTGCCGACATTGCCGGTCGAGAGAGAAAGAACAAAAAAGAGAGCGACAGAAGAGCAAAGAAAGAAAGCAGACGAAAGGTTAGACGCATTCATTTTGTCGCGACGAGTTGAAGCTGCTCGAGCGCTTGTCAACTTTACATATTTTTATGCAATCTGTAATTCCGGCGTTTCCTGCAAAGTAAGCTAGAAATATATGTACAGACCTTACAGGTGATATTCCGCTCCATCATTGCATACATTAAAGGGGTACGGAAACGGAATTCCAGTGCTCATTTTCTAGCTTAAATGGGTTGCGTGGCACAAGAAAACTTAATTTAAAGCTAATTAAATTATCTTTCAATATGCACCTGGTGGATGCCTGTGAAGCTTAGTTGGGAGGTATCTAGCAACATTGGGATTCTTGCCAGTAGGAACCATTACGTAGCCACAGTAAACATTGGAGCAGCGCCGCTCTTTAGAAGTATGTTCAATTGTTGCAAGTTACCTCGGCCTGAACACGATTGCGAAGCCTTTGCCCGTGCGCTTTGCCCCTTTGAGAAGGAAGCCAATGACATGTCATGATGGACTCGTTGAGGAATGTCGCCGAGTTGTTCTTGTGATTTTGCTGTACAGCTCGAAGCTGTCCTGTGCTTTTTAACGTCGAAATGCCGCCGTGTTTCTGCATGGCTGAGAACTGTGATAACGACTTGGTCAACAGCGATATACCGATCAACAAGTTTCCGAACGACGAGGAACTTCGTGCCCTGTGGACTCGGCTCGCATGTCCGTCGTTTCTGACGTGGGTTCTGACGCCTGCTGCTCCCTTTCCGAAATGAATACAGAGAGGGCGGTGTCGGTGTTCTCATCCGCACTTGTGTCGTTCAAGTTTATGTTCCCAAGTAAATCGTATTGAAGCGCCATTGGAGTGGGCCACACGAACATGACGCGCACGACTGATCTCACTCGTGAAACGCTAGTCACCCCACAGGTACTTTGAACGGCTCGGTTGTAATGCACTGACGCTGTTGACACCACCACAACGCTGACAAAGACACCAACGACAAAGCTCATAATCCCACCAGCCTTGCTACGTCAGGAACGTGGGAAATCTTTTTTTGTTGTTGTTTTTGTTTGCATCAGATATCTTACGACGCATCACGCTCTCCGTTCGCTTCTCATCGAGTCCTTGCTCAAGTGCACTGCTTGGAACGAAAGATTCAGCCAGGCGTTCAAAATAGAAACATGCGCTTATCATTTACGGTTATTATACGTCATGCTTGACTCATTTCTGTACGAAATTTGTATATTTCCATTTTCGTTTCCGTACCCCTTTAAGGCGTCGCCAGCAATATGGGCCCTAGGGACCACCGACCAGGATAACTGATATCCGCAGCTATGCCCCGCCATTCCTAAGCAGTCTTAATGCATGGGACATTTTTCTTTAGATTATTATATTAATTTCATACTTTTTTTGGATACTGACTTGCTCAGGGATTCTTGTATAGCATATCTGAGGCAATGGCACGACACAACAATGAAACTGGCCAGGCTAACATTCTATGACAAGAAACACATTCTCAATGAATGAGACAGCCAGTCAATGAAGTTAAGCTGAAAGCAAACAATAAACCTGGTTACCTTTCATACAACAACTTAAGTCCAAGCGAATGATGTGAATTCTTATTGTGACCTGCTACTAGTACTTTATACACAAAAAAGATTATTACATATATATTTTTTGCCAATTCTAAAACTGGCAAAACACTGTCTTCTAAATTAACTGTCGGGTATGTTGGTAATGTTGATTTGGCACAGAAAGAGTAAAACAAACCCGGGAAAAAAAATATGTTTGCCGTTCCTCGCTCCGAGTCTGTTTTATTCTTTTTGTGTCAAGTCAATTGTATTCTGCATAAACGAAAACTGATCTGCAGCCACAACTGAAGACCGACATGAAGACAGAATTTACAATTGGCGGTTGTGCGTGCGCTTGGGGTACGCATAGCCACAGCGCCCCTCCAGCCCACATACCCTCTTGATTGCCGCAGCAGAGCCCACGGCCAGGATGCCTTCAAACTGCGGTTCAAATTCTGCCTTGAGCAAGCCGCAGCGGTGAGCAAACTTTCGCAAGTCATAGCCGTGCTCCGCCAAGAATGGCTTCACCAGACTGTAGTCTGCCCCCACCAGAGGAAGACTCTTCCGAGGTCCGCTTTCCTGCACAGCACATGGTCCACGCAATCAGGATGCATATCCACAAAAATAAAAGGAATGCTGAAGGAACATACTTTATTGGCACATTAACAATGAATGTGAGGCAACCACACCTTGTAGGCTGAGCCTGCATGCACATGAAAAGATTGCCGTAAGGTGAAGCGGAGATAGTGCACGTGTAAGATCTAGCTGCACTGCCTTGCACCAGTGCAGAAAAAGTGTGCCAACACTGTAAGGCAGGGTGTTCTGAGGTACAAGATTCAAGGAAACTGCATCTGAGAGATAAAATGAAATATAGGTGCAGACTGGAGACATTCAAGCTGCATTGTGCATGACCACAGCTATCCTGCAGGGGCATTGAAGGATTACTGACACACCCAAAATGTTTTATTTGTTTGCACTCAACGCTAGAATATGATTTCAAGACCATACTCCTTCATTTTTCTGCTGCGAAGCCACACATTTGCCGAGAATAACGAACGAAGTCAAACTAAACCTTATATACCTGCGAGGAAGACAGTAAGCAGTTCTAGAATAGCGTACGCAAAGAATAGCGTCGTCGCCGCTGCACATGCGCTGGACGCTAACCATGTTTTCCGCTTTGCTTGCGCTATTTTTTTGGAAATTGCTTGCATATGTGAAGTCTTTTAACTCCTTCAAGAAGGATACGTGATTCACGAGAAGTTTGCTGAAGCCAAGAAGAGCACATTTAGAAAATGGTGGCTCCCAGGACCGCGGCTGCGGCTGCTTTGGCGGTTGTCGTGAGCGCAATGTTGGCGGCATCATGGCGACTACGATTTTCACTACAGGACGACATTGCACTCCCACAGAAGGTGCATATCACAAACTGCTTGGAAGACCCAGCAAGGTGGGCAACGATCACCGGCAACTTGCTGCTTGCAACGCGACAAAATTTGCTGGCGAAGGTCAGCACACAAAACCTCCCTTGCCGAGGCGACGCAAGCAAACGCGACCAGTTGACCGCTCCCATTGCATTATCATATTTAAATAAATCTAAAATGTTACCCTTGCGGTGGAGGGACACTTTTTTAAAACTCGCGTAGCATGCACTAACGCAAGTACTAAATTTAGCGCTAGCGTGTGCTAAAATTGCGTACATTATTCTAAAACTCCCTAGTGATGCCAGAGTATTGAAATCATGGATAGTCGCTCTTAGCAAAGTCGCAAAAGGTTCAGTAAACAGCCCCATGGCTATGCACTAAAAATCCTGGATTTTGGTGCTTCAGTAGTTCATGGAAATTATGAATCGTGGATTCATTTACTTTTAATTATGTGTGCCCTAGATAATCTCAGATTTACAAGAGTATTTCACGTTCTGTGTCATCACTGTACCTGACAAAGGGAAAATGTTTAGGGCAGCACAGAGCACCAATTTTCGACAGTTTGTTTTCGTGGAGAAAGAAATGAAAATGCGAGCCGCAAATACTTATTTTGCTTCGGTAGTAAGGCCTCATAGATGGTGTTTTGGTAATGTTGATGTGTTAGTATCTTTGTATGTTGCTATAGATGTATGTATGTATCTATGTAATAATGAGTGTGTTGGTGAATAGATACAAGTACTTGAAAAGATAAAACATTGAGAATGGGGATGGGAACAGGACTTCTCTCACTGAGCAACATATAAAACTGCCCCCCAAAGGCTTCAACGTTCTCAAAGAAGGAAAGGAGAAAATTGTTAAAAGAGAGGAAAATTTACTATATACTTAAAACACCAATATTTCTGCACCTTTATTATCACTGACAATGACGGAGGCCAAATTCCCAATACCAGAGATAACTAGATTACTGATACTTCCAAGAGACTCCAGTGCTTTTTAGCCTTTTTAAATTTATAGTAAATTCCCCTTTTTTTCAACAATATTCCTCTTTCTTTCTTAGAACGTTGAAACCTTTGGGGGCAGTATTATATTTTGTGCCATTCTATGTTGCTGCTCAATGGAAGAAGCCCTGTTTCCGTCCCCGTCCTCGATGTTTTATCCTATCAAGTATTCACATGTATCTATGTTATATATGTTTGTTAGTATGCTGCTCATGATGTTAGTATATTAACTTTTTGGGCATGAGAAATAGTCCTTTCCAACTTATTATAATCACAAATCTTATGATGGCATGCTGGAAACTTTCAAACATAGGACTCACCAGGAGTTGACAGTAGTCGCTCAGCTTTTTCTCTGCCTTTGCGACATTCTCCGGATTTCCCAGCAAGCAGATGCCATTGGGCTTGTCATGCACATACACAGATGACCCAAAGTCCAATGCTTTCATCCAGCTTGCAATGTCTTCGTAGCACATTGTTCCATTTGCAATGGGGTTGAGAGGCCTCAACAGTGTGTTGAAAGTGTGCACAACCTTCTGGAAGTCGTTCAGGTTGTTTGCCTGCAGCCTGATTTCCATGCGCTGATTGTCTAGGGGTTTAGCTTCCACCTTGAGGTTGTCCTCTGGTCGGAGACCTTGCTTGCTTTGCTGAAGCGCAGACTGAATCTGTTCTTTGACAGCCAAGAAGAATGAGAGTGGAAAGACAAAGGAATCCGTCACAAAGGCGTGGACATCCAGCGGAATCAGAGGACCTTGCTGAGACAGGATTGGCTGGCCATGCAGGACCTCACACATGCTCTGTCCCTCGGCCGCATTGTAGAAGTAAACCCAGCCCTTGAAGAGGTAGTCTTTTGACTTGGCAGGTTTGCAGTTAATAGAAAAGGCATCCATGCCCAGATCCTCCTTGATCGTCTTCATGAGCACCTCTTGTACAATCTTGTTGTCTTGGGGTGTGGTGTCGAACGGGGGTTCGTGGATGATGCGCACCGAGCTGATGGTCACTGGAAATGTGGCCCGGAGCGTCTCTTCAAGGGCGGATTGCTCTGTAGTAGGTGGCAAATTGCTGACATACAGCTGACATTCCTCTTTCTTGTTTCGCTCGCACGTGATCTCAACGCCCCCGAAGCTAAGCTGCAGGGGAAGCGAAAACGCTATGGTTTCTAGGGTTGCCTGGTCTGGCAATGTCGCAAAGCCGATGCCGGTGCATCGCCGGCGAACCCAAGTCACAGCGGCGTGGAATGCAGGCTTTCGTTGTGCCTGCTCACTGCGGTAGCTGAATGCGTCCCCCATCACGGTCACTGTCAAGTCATTATCTCGATTCAAGAGCGCGGCATAGGCCTTGCTCGCTTCTGCGGCAGTCTTGTATGTGATGTAGAAGGCCTTTTCCTTGTTCAGCAGCCTGTATTGCACAATGTTGCCAAGCTCATTCACCAACACACGAAAGGTGGCGGCAGGTATCTTCAGGTTGGACACGACGACGGTGCGAAAGACAGCAGGTGACAGTACCTGGTCCACTTGGCCGCCCACCCCGAGTACCACTTGTACGGGATGGTCGGCAAAAGGCGAATCCGGCTGAGTCAGCATGGCTTCCCGGTCCTTGTTCTTCAAGTTCTTCACTTGTTCATCTATAATAGACTGAAGGTGCCTGGTTCCCACGAGGCGGAACTGTTCCGGTCCCTGGACTGTGACACACCTCTGCAGAGTGTCAAGTACTAAGCGGCCTGTGGAGCATTTGACTACATCTTTGAGGGCCTTTTCCAAAACACCCAGCTGGTTAGGATTAGCAAATTGGTGGTTCCAGATGAGGGTCCCAACGGGGCCAACCTTGCAGGGACTACTCGGAGTTGCAGATATGGACAACGACTTCATGCCGGGTGTATAGTCGTCGCCTTCAACACTGATGGCGGCAAAATTGAGCAGCTGAGGTTTCTTGGAACCAAGAGGAGTGCTAAACATAGGGCAGACAACCATAGAAGGGATCTGTCCCTGTGTGCTGAATGTTGATCTTGGCGAGACCTTTAGCTTAGACCCCAGCATCTGTTGCTTGAAGCCACTCTCCGTGTATGAAAGCACACTTTCAGGAAAAGCCTCTCGCAGCATATGGCCAATCTGTTCCACTTCAATCTCTGCCTGCTTCTTCCCACCAGGTGTCTCAAATTCAGCCTGGTGTCTGACAACTCGAGCATGCAGGTTCTTGAAGAATGCTGCATTAAGGCCATTCATCTGGCACCATGAATCTTTTGCTTTTTTAGGGACATCAAGCCAATCCTTGTAGAGATCAATTACACGGGAAAACATGCAACCCTTCTCAGCAGCTGGAGGGGGGCGAGGGCTACCATTCCGGTCAAGTGGTACATGGGTAAGCATTAGATCTTCAAAAGTAAGAAGTGCCAACAAAATCAAGTTCAGAGCAGAAACCTCATCAGACGCTTTTATGATCAATGCCCCCAGTCGAGGCTCTAGGCTAGTCTGGCAGAGTTTCAAGCCCAGTTCTGTTGTACGGCCATCAGGACCCACAGCTCCGAGTCGCTCAAGGGTAATTTGTACATCTTTCAGGACCTCTTTTGGTGGTTCCCTCAAAAAACAGTCAGAGATGGGCATCTGTCGGTTCTGAAGTCGAAGGACAACATCTTCCAAGAATCGAAAGTCCTCCGCATCTCTGGGAGGGCCACTAGCAAGAGCACTGTCATTGTAGAGACGGTAACAAGTGCCTCGGCAAGACACACCAGCCATCGAACGCCTCCTCTCAGCTTCTTCTCGAGAAATTAAGCACTGCTGCTTGATAAGCACACCACTTTTGGACACGATCGTTTCTACAATACCACAGTCGATCACACATTGCGCTTTAATCATGCTGACACACACATCGGGGCAATGAACTGCGAAGACGACCTTCCATGTCCCCACTGGTGGGGTTTCTAAGGAGAATGGCGTGCCACTAAACAAAACTTCGTGGCAAACCTGCCCATCTGTGTCATCTGAAATTCGTTGCTCCAGGATTGCGTCTGCAAGAAATGCATCTGCAAATGAAGGCAGGAGCACTAGAATGTTTCCACCTAACTCCTGTTGCTTTGAAAACTCCAAAGCAATTCCCACACACTCAGCAGCTAAGTTCTTATGCGAGCCCATAGAGATAACATCTACAGGGAACTTCAGACCACAGGCTACAACATCATGGTCGCCAAGACAGAAAAAGTTCCGAATAGGAAAGCACGTTTCAAGTGCAGAGGTGCAAAGAACAAGCTTGGCATGGGAAACAAAGTGCTTCCGTAGGACAGCAAGCATAATGTTCTGGTAGACCGTGTCTTCTTGAAGTTCATCTGCGACGATGCATTGGAAACTTGCAAGTGATGTCCCACAGCGAAGGAACTCATACAAGAAACAGCGCGCCGTTGTGAACACCACAGAACCTTCGAGGCTAATCTGCTGTGATGGAAGAAGCCAGCATTCTGCTGAACCAAGTCCGTGAATCGTTGCAGCATACCGAGAGCAATATTCGGCTGCGAGATCGCTAGGCTGGATGCTCAGCACCCTGCCACCCAGATCTTTGAGGTAGGATACAGTTTCAAGGCTCTTGCCTGACCCCGGAGAGGTAACAAGGAGGGCAACCTGTCGCTTTGCAAGGCTTTCCAGAAGCTTAGACTTTGAACTGTAGACCGGCGATGCACGACGAAGACGCCCGACCTCTACACTCAACTCGGCATCTGGAAGCAAACCTGAACAGGTTGCCTTTAAGAACTCATCAAGTTGAGCTTCACATACAGAAATCTGAGTCCTGAGTGCAAATCTTTCTAGCTTTCCTTTGGGGTCTTGGTCATGTTCAAGCTGTGCAAGCTTCTTTTTGATCCTTTCCAGATGAGAGTTGTGGGCACTAATAATTGCATCAGCCTTCTTTTGTCTCTTGTTGTTTTCAGCTGGCACGGCCATGCCAGGGCCTGGTTGTCCATTCTCATCAAGTATGCCCAAGCACACTGGAACTTCAGACTTGTGGCCCGTCAGGTTTGACAATGAAGCAACGGCCTTCTTGGCTTTCCTTGCACTGGGGTAAATAAGGCACAGTTTTTCTTTTGCAGACGCATTACTCTCAAGAACAAATCCTGGAGGAACCACATCGGACAAGACTTCCTTCCAGAAAGTCAAGTTCCCTTGCTGTTTAGGGACAACCAAACCCACTTTGGTCCTGTAGCTCACCTCAGATGCTTCAGGAGGCAGGACCTCTTTGGTTTCTTGAGCCACAACTCCTTTCCCAGCTTGCACTGGAATGTCGGAAATAGTCTGCTTTGTCTCCTTTTTGAGGTCGGGGACACGCTTTACAGAGCTGTCTTTGCGTCCACCTTCAGAAGTAGGCTGATGTGGCACGCCAGTGATTGCAGCCTTTGCTTTGGCCTGCGGGGGCACTGTCTTGGCCTTTGCCTTCGGTTTCAGGCTCTGGACAAAGCTCGAGTAACGAATGCTCTCATTAGCACACTCCACAAGTGACTTTCTAGCCTGGTCATTGTGTATAAGCACAACGTGGATGAGATGATGATATCGCATCTCGTGCACTTCTGATGCAAAGTCTACGTCACCCGTGATGAGCACAATTTTGGACCCGAGCAACTTGTACGCATCAGAAAAGCGCCGCAGCTTTACCCGAAGCTTTTCGTCAGCGGAGTTTTTCTTGTCGCTGCTGACGTGCACCACGGTGACTTGGGCATCATTCAGCTCATCAACAACTTCTTTCTTCATCTGTACAATGTCGCACGCAACGCTGAACTCCACCTCCCGGTGTCCGGGGTAAAACTCGTTCCGCACTTTCTTGACAATGTCATACGCAGAGACGCCATGCGGCACCGCACAGTTCTCAATGTCCCAGTAGACACTGATGTAACCGATCCCTGCAGGTTGCTGGGTTGCCATTCCCACCACGCTGTCTTTCGAAACTTCATCTGTGAGGTCCTCGAATTCTTCAGGGTCAGCCAGTGGCTCAGCGCATGCGTACACAGAATCCCCTCCCTCATCCAAATCTTCGGACATCCCATGGCGACAAGCGTCAAATGCCAACTCGTTGGCGTCAGTCAAGCTCAAAATCTCTGAAAACAGTGACTGCTCGTCTTCACCAACCATCCGATCCATCTCCCGCTTGAAAGAAATCAGTTCTGCTGCAACAGTGCTCAGTGCTCCTGTGTTAAAGTGCATTTGACCACGTGATGTCCACGGTCTGCCCCTGTGAAACCGCCCTCTCCTGTTGGCTCGTTTCTGAAATTGAGGGCCTGGGTTGTTCAAACTGGCAGCACCGATATGCCCCCCCCTTGCAGAACCGCGAAAACCGTGGTTACCGCGAGAAGGTCTCCTGGCTGTGTGAGCACCTCTTGTTGATTCTGGATTGTTCTTATTCTGGCCTTGATGAAGCAGCGGCTGCTTCTGCTCAGCCCCAGTCTTCTGGTTCGTATGGTGCACCCCAGCACCACGATTGCCACGGCTGCCATCATGTGTGGATTTCGTACCGCTGTGGCTGCCCTGTTTTTCAGAGCCCCGGTTGCTGCCTCGAGTGGCTCCCCTCTGATGGCCTTGGGTGGCTCCCCTCTGATGGCCTTGGGTGGCTCTCCCCTGGTGGCCTTCACCCCGAGGCTTCTTCGGTCCCCCGGTGTTCATGATGACCACAAAATCACTGTGCAGAACAGAGTGAGGAAGGGCACAGAGGAATTATGAGAAACCCTGTAAGGCAAACAGTAACCCAAGGCTAAGAAGAAAGAAAAGGGGCAAAGGACATTGTAAACAATTCTCTAGATCCATCGGTCTCATGTGTTCATGTACTTAACTGGGAGTTACTTCGCCCAACACTTGTACTTTTCTGCAACAGGAAAGCCCCTGGCACACTCTTCTGAAGTCAATTGTCAAGTTTATTTGATAGTCTAGACCACTAGGATCAGTAGGTAGCACGGCAAGTGACCATTTTAAGGCAACCTGCAGGCTGTCTTGTCACTCATGCACAGGCCCTATTAATACCTAGCAAAATAAAACCTAATTAGATGTTAGATGTTTACACAGCATGAGGTCAGCACGTCACGCAGTAGATATATACGATCACATGCCTGCATGATGTTCACTGAAATCTAAATGAGTAGGGATGGGGATAAAACACAAAATCTCTGCATTCTACCCACTATATAAGACGCCCTGCCCTTTAGGTGAGAAAAACACGCAGCACAGCAAACGCTACGACGCGATCAACCAGATAAAGTATGTCCTGTTGGCGTACGCCCGAGTAGCCCAGGCTGACAGCGCCTCCACCGGCCAGAGGGCGCAACCGAGAGAAAAAGAAACGAACAAAAAAGTGCATCGTTGCCACAGCACCCAGGCATGCACACTTTTCACTCCATGTGTTTGCTCTGACCTTGACGGACGATGGTTCGAACACCGCACCATAGATCTTTCCACTGTAACGTGTTGATAAAACTGTTCTTGTCAGCATGAAGGCACAAAGCTCAGGTCAACGACAAAGCTTTGTCTAAGCACCATGCGCAGCGCAAGTGCCCAGCTACATGTGACGCAGCACACCAAAAAACCGACTTCAAAAATAGGCATGTCTCCCATAGATAAGCATGGGAAACGGGACCCGTGACAGGCTACCACTAGCAGCTTATCAAAGAGTCATCTGGCGCACCGCTTCAATTGCAACCAAGGCAAGGAGAGGACTTGATTCATCATCTGGCAGCTGTGACATGCGCGGTGTCAGCAACCATATTACCTTACACCGTCGCTCTAGCCCCGTGTGCCCGCTTTGATCTATTCGGTACAAAAGCCCTTTCTGGTGTGATGTAGGTCATTGAATATGCAGTGATGTGATTGCCATAAGCCATTTTGGAGCACCTTTCGGAGCAGCCAAAACGGTGTTTTGGAGCAGCAAATGTGGACTTTGGAGCAACCAAAACAGTGTTTCGGAGCACCAAAAGTGGCTTTTGGAACAGCCAAGACAGTGTTTCGGAGCAGTAAAAGTGGCTTTTCGAGCAGATATTCTTAGAAAAATAAAAATATTTTGTTTAAGTGCCGTACAAACGAAGGGGACTTTGCGTTGTGTTCTGATGTGACGTGTTGTGACGAAACTTGCTGCTTGTTTTTTTACTGCTGAGACATCTCAGAAGTGTACAGTGCTGTACACATTGCCAAGCGATTTGAAGGACCGCTTGCCATGATTTTACTGGTTCCCGACGTGCCAGATTTTCGTCGAAAGTAAGCAAACGTAAAACAATAAATTACAAGCGTCCCGGCTGGTGCCTCTGTCGTGCAATCATGTTCGCATGCACATGAGAGCAATTTCGGCAGGCTTGCACTTGCGCGTGCTTAGTCGCGCGAGCGGAGACAACAGCTGTTCTATCGAAACCGAAACCATTGCGCCCTGCTCCGTCCCCAACCCATTCCCAAAATTGCATGCAAAATGTAACTGTCGAGCATCCGACAAAAATCAGTCCAGCGGCGCGTGCTTGTCAGGCCAGCAAACAAGGTACAAGCTAGACAAAAAAAAATAACCTGAGCCGCTGAAAGACATCCAGGGCCAGAGCCAGGGTGAAAACGTTTTTGGAGCAGCTTGTGCAAGGACGGGAAATGAGACAAACAAGCGCGCTGTGCGGGTTCAGCATGCAGACATTGCCTTCTTTGCTTTTAGCTCACTTCTCTTCACAAACTTTCTTTCACGGCAGATTTTTCTCGTACCTGGGTCCGTTTCGAAAAAAAACCCACCGAGGTGAAACCTAGGTAATCAATACTTCAGCAAAGAAGACTTTGAATTAAAGAGGTATTTTCGTAGTAACATGATATAAACAAGAACCGGAATGTTAATGAACATGCGGCAGTACTTGGTTTTATTTTAGAAAGCGCCATATCTGCAGCGACGTGGGGACACCCGACGTTGCGCGACCAGGGTGACAGGAATGCAGGGACCAAATATAGTTATTTCATGGCCGTTGCTTTCAGGAGCAAGTGCTTCAGCTCACAAAGTAACTCCCGCCTCGCAAAACGTGGTTTCGTTCCACAGCATGACGGCATGGCTGATACCCAGCACGCTAGCGTGGACGCGTCTGCACACACCTGCGTCTATCGATGGAAATATTTCTAAATAAAACGCAAGACGAGACCCACGAGACGACGAGAGCGCAAAACGCGAGACGGCGGGAAAGCCATGCAAAACCGGATGGACAACTGATGCAGGGTACTTTGCGTCGGGCAGCCGCTTGCGCCACATAAAGCGCGAAACACATGTACGATGAAACCTTCCGATCCGACGTGCGGAGTGCCGGAATGACCTTGGGGGTTTTCGTAGCATCGGAGAGCGTTGAAAACCCTCGCCTCCAACCGTCGTAATGCGTGGTCAGACGTCGGATTCAACGGTTTCGTCATACATGTGTTTCGCGCTTAACACACGCATGCTCAATTACGGTACTGAATTTAGTTTCGATTTTGAAAGGCGACCGAAATTTGTTTTTTGGCGCATGCTTGGCACAGATTACCCATATTTTGGCAAAATATAGCAGGATGTAGCAGGGCTAGCCCCTTGGCGCAGTTTGACGCAATTGGTGCAGCAATCACATCACTGCATATGACATTTTGTATAACAACAGGGCAGAGCTGGTAACAGTTCCTCTTTCGCATTTGGCTGGCAAAGAAGAAATATCATCCCAGGAACAGGTGCAAATACACCTCCCTACTGGCAATAGACACCTTTCAGAAGTCCGCACGGATGCCTGTCCGGCATTGATTGATCACATTCTCCAAGCATGTATTGGAGACAAAGGCTGCGTCAGAGTTTAGCGAGGAATGCATCAGCGTTCAGCCTGAACTTTGCTCGGCTCGTACTAAAAACGAGCCCTGCGTCAGCATTCGGCGAGGACTCGGATCAGATCACACGTTTCCTGTCCAAGCAATGGCGACCGCCAATGTTGCTCGAGGAGCTTTTGAAAAGGGTTTATCAGCCAACCGAGAGCTGATAGTTCAGAGCCATGACAACTGTAGCATTCATATCTTGAGGCCCTGTCTTTGAGTGGTTGCACATTAATTTTCACCTAAGATCCCAATCAGCCAAAAACCGTGGCCACAGCTCTGCTGGACGGCGATTTCATTGAAACCTAGAACAAAAAGTATGTGGCTTATTTTTCAGATGCCTGGGCTCCTGCATGTGCCACTAGTTGCCTTCTGTCGGGTTCTAGCTGGGTACGCCCAATCAAGGCTCACGCAACACCGAAGTGTCACCCAAGGTAGGAAGCTCGCTGTGGACGTGCAGCAAGTGGAAGACCTCCCCGACAGTGGAGATAGCAGAGCACTAGTATCACAGTGCAAGACTGCAGCAACCCTCTGGACTCAGTACAAAACATAAAGATGCGTGAAGCAGCAGTGGTTTCACCCCAAAGTGGTGAAAGGCACAACAAGCGCACGCCAGAATGCAAAACGAACACGGCCTGTGGGAACAGTCCCTAAAAGAAGGAATTGCCAAGAGTGTAAAGGCACACAGAGAATGCACTCCTGCATCCTATTCGGCTCGTGTGCTTTCCTTGCCACGTTTCCTCCCGCACTGTCTCGGGCAAGATGAGATATTTGTTTCAAGCAAGTAGAGTACATACTCTTTGCTCAGAAGGTGAAAATACAACAAATAAAGCGCAACACCACTGAAGTCTTTCTTTTTCTTTTCTTTCTTTTTTTTTGTCCTTTTATACACACACGATCAGCACACTTATTTTATCAGAATTAGTTGGGGGGCTAGTTGGTTGAACATCTAGACGGTGGTTTAAAAGCGCAAAGGACTAAGAAGAGAAGAAGGGGACAGGACAGAGCGCTTACTTACAACTGTCAAATTTAATAGAGCATTTAGAGAAAGACAAGGTGGAAGTGAAAAAGAAGAAAAGAAAAATGAAATAAAATTAAAGTCACTGCTGCTATTAAGAACATATTTGGTTTTAGAAATCGAAACAAAAATATTTTGACTGCAGCTGAAGGCAAAGTACTTGTCACGTAAAAAAAAAAAAACTGTCTATACAGCAAAATGAAAAAATAATAAAAAAAAAATTGAATAGTAGGAAAAAAGAAAAAAACATTAGGCATAGCGACCGGCTAAAAAGTCTTGAGGTAAAACACCGCTAGAACTGAAGTTCTTTTTGTGTTTCAAGTCTTTAGGGCATACACCAAAGGAACTGAAGTTCTTTCTGTGTTAGGGTCACTGATGGGGCGCTTATACACTTGTCGCCACTGGTGAGGATGACTTGAGCCTCGTACAGCTCTCTAATGTTTTTGTCACGGAACCGCTTCAGAACTTTGGTGTTGGTGAATGTTGGTGAGCATTTGCAGTCTCTGACATGCACCGCAAGATGTCCCGATGGTGCTGATTTCAACGTTTGGGCATGTTCTCTTAATCTCGTATTGATACATCGCCCCGACTGACCTACATACACTTTGCCGCAAGTAAATGGTATTTGATATATCACTCCACTTTGACATTCCACATACTTGAGTCGATGTTTTACACTGCATTCTTGCTGTTGATGCTGTTGGCAATTGATCTTAGGGCAGAGCCTTTTTAGTTTGTCCGGAGCTGAAAGCACGACTTGGACTTGAAACTTCGCAGCTGTTCTCTTCAAGTTGTGGGACAAGCGGTGTATATATGGCAGAACTGTCGGTCGGTGTTGCTTGTGTTTTTCAGTGTCATGTTTTTTATTTGAGGTCATCAAGGATTCCGCGACTTCATATATTATCGAACTGGGATATCCCGACGCTTTCAGTCTTTGTACTTGAGCATCAAAGCTTTCCCCCGCTGAGTGTACGCAAGATTTTTTAAGAGCTGTATTCAGGCAATTTTTGGCAATTCCTCTTTTAATAATTTTGGAATGAGCCGAATCATACTGTAAAAGACCTTTCTTCGATCGAGGGGAATACATCCAGCAAGCGTGGTTGTCAGAGAAAACCAGTCTTAGATCTAAAAATTGGAGTCTGGAGTTCACTGGTGTCTCTTGGGTGAACTTGAGACCCTGGCCATTTTCTAAAAAGTTAGATTGGATGATGTTGAATAGTTGCGTCTCATTCTCACTTGGGCGATGTTGAAGAAGAACGAGGTAATCATCAACGTATCGAAAAATATGAGATACATGGCTGTTGAAAAGTGTACTGGCTACTGCCCGATCACATTGGGCCAAGTAAATATCACATAATATAGGCGCCACACAGGAACCTATACAGATACCTTTCTTTTGTAGGAAAGAATCACCTTCAAAAGTGACGACTGTAGCAGAAAGGTAGAACTTTAAAAGTTCTAAAAAGGACTCTACCGGAATGCCGCACTTGTTTTGAAAGGAAATAGTTCCATTGGCTTCAATACATTCGCTTACTGCTGCTAATAATTTGTTGTGTGGTACTGAGTAAAATAGATCCTCCACATCAAGTGAGAACCCAAAGCGCACTGTCATCGCATTTAGTTGCAGATACTTAATAAGTTCCTCCGAGTTTGCTATTAGGAATGGGTCATTCAGCTGGAGATTAGACAAATGGCTTAAGAGGAACCGTGACATTAGACCCTGCCAAGACCCTTTCTCAGTGACCACAACTCGAAAAGGGCATTCGTTCTTGTGAGTTTTTGCTGTGAAAAACATATCCAGACTGTCCTTTTTGGTAGCAGTAATCGTCTTCCTCAATTGCTCCAACTCAAGTCTGTGGCACATTTGAAGCGCCTTTGCCTTCACACTTTTGGTTTTGAAATCATGCAACTTGTTAAAGTTTTTTTCTATGGCCCGCCCTGCTTTTTCGAGGTAGAGTGACCTAGGAATGACAACGAAACCTCCTTCTTTATCAGAAACTAGAAGGGTTAGGTCATTCGTTTTGAAATAATTGACAATAGTGGGAATTCTCATATTCTTGTCATTAACTTGACCAGTCTGTAGCAGCACGTCAACAGAATCGTCCACACATCGAAGTCTATCAGCTTCTTGGGCCTTTGCCGCTATGTCGTGTATCTTAGACACCAGCTCTACGCCCTGCATTTTTGGTGGTGTGCAGAATTTTGGTCCTTTTTCGAGTATCTTGCCTATCTCCGCCGGTATTGTGGCATCCCCCAACAACGTTACGGATTCTCCCTTGCGTTGGTTATTTTGAGCACGGAGACTTTTTATATGCGGAATATATGAAGACCATAGGAATTCCGTTTCCTTACTTGCTCTGTCAAGGAAGGTTCTGTACCTTCGTCCTTGGCCGCCACCGGGGTCTCCACAACCCGCAAGAACCCAGAGGCAAGTTCTGAAGTATCGGACCTGCCTCCACATCTCGGAGCGGACAATCTTGCATATTCTTTTTGCATGATGTTGGGAAGGTCTTGCAAAGCCAAACAACCCAACCAAGTCCGGTGGAACCGCACCATGTCTGATGGCGGCTCTGTCCTGTCCCCTTCTTCTCTTCTTAGTCCTTTGCGCTTTTAAACCACCGTCTAGACACTTATTTTACAAGCTCACTTTGGCTTGCACGGTTGGCCAAACTTTTCTCTCCCCTCCTCCTCCACTCTCTCCCTCCCCTTCTTGGCGAAGACCCTAGGATTGAAAATTCTTCGTATCTGCGCTACTCGCGCCGACAGTCGGGAGCTCTTGTTCCGTATGTACGATCGCAAATTTTGAAACCCTGCTCTTTTGCAGGCACGATATCCGTCACAAAGGCAGCACGAGCATAGATACCACGGACACAAAGATAACGTCTATCTATAAACGTTCATTATCATGCCTCCTTTGTTCGGTGGATTAGTTCATGGATCTCGAGTGCATACATTGTACGCCTGTGGGAGAATAAATAAATAAATAAAAAAAAAAAAAAAACTAGAGCTGAGAACGACCGCTTGGTAAAACGCACAATGTTCAAAATACTATACCAACGTATCAGATGTCTTTTTGTCCAATGTCTTTTTAACACACGCAACAACGTACGCCCCTCAGTTGGCATGCAATGGAACCATATTGAATTGGCTATTTACAATAAGCGCACACACGAGAAAGGTAAACAATTTGCGAAGACGTACTCACCAAAGGACCAAGGCAAGCGGAGTCAGAAAGGTGGAAACAAGCTGCGCTCCCGACACAAGCAAGACTCGGCAAGCCGGCACCTGACTCTGACATTGGGTATCATACGATCAGCGACAGGACGCCTAGAACGTCTATTCGCCACTACATTGTGATGTGATGCAAACTGCTCAAACTCCCGGCTGCGCGGAACGGCGGCCTCAGTGCCCCACGGCTAGCGCACTCAACCACGGCCCCACTCCTCCACTCCTCAGTCCCGCGCTCAGGCCCAGCCGCTCAGCCGCTCGGGGGCTCGGGGCAACGGGCAATGCGGGCGAGTTGGGCGAGTTGTTCCCTAGCTTTCGTCTCTCTCCCTATGATTGTACCTACCATTGATAAACGCTCCAGATAAACAACGCCTTGTTTAACAACAGTAATGAGCTTGTTTATGAGAAAGTTTTATAATATACAAAATATAAATACAATACACAAAAAGGACGATAGAGGGCAGGGTCGACAGGATTATATCGAGCAAGCTCGAGCAGTAGGGAAATTTCTGCTAGGGACAGGTTTTCGTTTTCCCTGTGGGTATCATCCGCTCAAAATCCTTGACCAATTCCTATAGTTTCGGAATAAAAACATTTTGCTAATCGGCATTTGTCACGTTGTTGTAGGCTTTCGAATTATCAACAAAATATGTTAGCGTTTCGGCGTGGCTGTAAAGACGGGTTCGATATGTCGTTTTGTAATGTGCAGTCAACGATAGTCCAGGGCATGTACAGCGGGTCATTCCACGTCAAACGTCCCAGACGTTGCGCTCGACTAGGGTAGCGCAATCCTTTGATCCGCGTGTTTCGCCGACAACATGGTCGACTGAGAAACTCGGCGCGAGTCACGTGGTATTCAGGGTTCCATAGAGATCGACTCAGCACTGCTGATTAAAAAATAAACGCCAAGTTCACACTTTTCGAAACGAGTCCGTCGTGAAGTTGGTAACGCACTAAACACTTTATCGAAGTTTTTAATAATATTGGATGCGTGTGAAACTTTTGAGAATGCAATTTCCAAGGTAATGGCGTTTGAGGCAGACGATTGTTTTAAAAAGACACTGACACCCCCCAATTTTTTTTTTTTTTTTCATTTTTTGCCAGGCGTTTTATTATGGTGTCGGAGGACTACCCAATTAATATTTTGCAACAAAGTAGCGTATTTTTTTAATAAAGCCAAAAGACGCAACTGCTCTAAACCGAAACCGAAACCCGACGGAGGTCGGAGAAGTGGAGAGAAGAGAGTGAGTGGCGGAAGTCACGTGACTACACCCGACCGAGTTTTTTTTTTTTTTTTTTCTTTCCATTCCGTAGCAGACGACATGCGGCGTATGGGAACTGTTCGCCGTGCGATTCTTTTGCAGTTATGTATGTTCCGCTCGTTGTTCTGTACTCCAAGATGAGTTGTTTTGTACATTGAGGAGTTGGAGATGAGTAGTAAGTGCCCGTGGTGAATTTCCATGATCGGCTCCGAAAAGAATACACCCAAGATGTTGCGTGAAGAGCTGGCTCACATGTCCTGCGTCCGAAAAAAAGTGGCATTGTGCGACAGAGTCTCCGAAAGATCAACGGGATCGGGACCAATGGCTGGCAGCAATTCCTGTAGACCATTTACGGGCACCTCGGAAAGCGGATGCTCCTTGCATTTTGTGGAAAGTGATTACATTGAGTTCGCAGGTGTCAAAAAGGAAATCCCATACCATTTAATTCAGCGACGTGTCGTCCACAACATTTGTTTCTTATATTTTTTTTTTGTTAGTTTCTTCAGTGATAATTGCAAAGAAAAAGAAAAAGAAATGTAAACATCAGAAAATGTCTGAAAAAAAAAAAAAGGTTTCACGGGGGATCAAACCCGGTCCTACCGCGTGCGAAGCGGACGTCTTTCCCACTGAGCTACTGGATGATGAAAATAAATCCTGGAGAAGGGGAACAAGAGGGACAAAGGACAAACACAAAACTCCAAACACAGCTAGGTGACTGGTGCGCGACCGAAAAAATCTGTCTGGTCCGGATATCGAACCCGGGACCTCTCTATTACAGGTGGAGCGCTCTACCAACTGAGCTAACCAGGGGTTAGACGTCAATAGAGCAAACGGGTTTTATCAGCCGCCACCAGTCTAACACCAACAAGGGTGAAACTTGCAATTTAAGGTTATGATTATAATGCAATTAAATGCAAAGGTGCAAGCGAGCTGGACAGTAATGATGAAAATAAACCCTGGAGAAGGGGAACAAGAGGGACAAAGGACAAACACAACACTCCAAACACAGCTAGGTGACTGGTGCGCGACCGAAAAAATCCGTCTGGTCCGGGTATCGAACCCGGGACCTCTCCATTACAGGTGGAGCGCTCTACCAACTGAGCAAACCAGGGGTTAGACGTCAGTAGAGCAAACGGGTTTTATCAGCCGCCACCAGTCTAACACCAACAAGGGTGAAGCTTGCAATTTAAGGTTATGATTATAATGCAATTAAACGCAAAGGTGCAAGCGAGCTGGACAGTAATGATGAAAATAAACCCTGGAGAAGGGGAACAAGAGGGACAAAGGACAAACACAACACTCCAAACACAGCTAGGTGACTGGTGCGCGACCGAAAAAATCCGTCTGGTCCGGGTATCGAACCCGGGACCTCTCCATTACAGGTGGAGCGCTCTACCAACTGAGCTAACCAGGGGTTAGACGTCAGTAGAGCAAACGGGTTTTATCAGCCGCCACCAGTCTAACACCAACAAAGGCGAAGCTTGCAATTTAAGGTTATGATTATAATGCAATTAAATGCAAAGGTGCAAGCGAGCTGGACAGTAATGATGAAAATAAACCCTGGAGAAGGGGAACAAGAGGGACAAAGGACAAACACAACACTCCAAACACAGCTAGGTGACTGGAGCGCGACCGAAAAAATCCGTCTAGTCCGGGTATCGAACCCGGGACCTCTCCATTACAGGTGGAGGGCTCTACCAACTGAGCAAACCTGGGGTTAGACGTCAGTAGAGCTAACGGGTTTTATCAGCCGCCACCAGTCTAACACGAACAAGGGTGAAGCTTGCAATTTAAGGTTATGATTATAATGCAATTAAATACAAAGGTGCAAGCGAGCTGGACAGTAGTGATGAAAATAAACCCTGGAGAAGGGGAACAAGAGGGACAAAGGACAAACACAACACTCCAAACACAGCTAGGTGACTGGTGCGCGACCGAAAAAATCCGTCTGGTCCGGGTATCGAACCCGGGACCTCTCCATTACAGGTGGAGCGCTCTACCAACTGAGCTAACCAGGGGTTAGACGTCAGTAGAGCAAACGGGTTTTATCAGCCGCCACCAGTCTAACACCAACAAGGGTGAAGCTTGCAATTTAAGGTTATGATTATAATGCAAAAAAAATGCAAAGGTGCAAGCGAGCTGGACAGTAATGATGAAAATAAACCCTGGAGAAGGGGAACAAGAGGGACAAAGGACAAACACAACACTCCAAACACAGCTAGGTGACTGGTGCGCGACCGAAAAAATCCGTCTAGTCCGGGTATCGAACCCGGGACCTCTCCATTACAGGTGGAGGGCTCTACCAACTGAGCAAACCAGGGGTTAGACGTCAGTAGAGCAAACGGGTTTTATCAGCCGCCACCAGTCTAACACCAACAAGGGTGAAGCTTGCAATTTAAGGTTATGATTATAATGCAAAAAAAATGCAAAGGTGCAAGCGAGCTGGACAGTAATGATGAAAATAAACCCTGGAGAAGGGGAACAAGAGGGACAAAGGACAAACACAACACTCCAAACACAGCTAGGTGACTGGTGCGCGACCGAAAAAATCCGTCTGGTCCGGGTATCGAACCCGGGACCTTTCTTTTATAGGTGGAGCGCTCTACCAACTGAGCCAACCAGGGGTTAGACGTCAGTAGAGCAAACGGCATCTCGATATTGAGGGATCTCTTTCCTTAGTAATAATTCAGCCGATAAACTGTAAGTTGGAAAGTTGTTGCCGATTTTCCTCTAGCAAAAGCACTCCCGGGTCGAAGTCGGGAAGCACCACGCATTGGCGACATTCGCACCTAGTAAAGAAATCGTACGCGTGCATATTCAACTCGAATTATACACGTCGTGCTTGACGTTTGCGCGAGCGATGTCTTCAGCCACGAGAAGGGAGCGACGGCTCGGCGACGTTTTCGTGCAAATTGGCTTGGTGGTCGGGCGTGTCGTACGGCATGAATACCAATTCTTTTGATCAGTCCCGAATTTCTCTTTTAAAGGCAGACAAAATTCGCCGGTACCGCGAACGACAGTTCTGAAATAGAGGTCCCACGCCCGCCGTCCGCTACCATCGCCGTCCCCGCGAGTCGAAGCGACGGACGCACAGGATGCTTCCGGTTGTGTGGAACTTCTTTTTCAATCAACGTATTTGCAGCTTTTTAGAAGCCACAAAAAATGGGTTTTATATTTTTTTTCTATTTTTAATATTGAATGTGTGCTTTCAGTGACCCACGACTTTGATTAAATTTGGTGGTCGCATCGATACCTTAGAAAACGGCCCGTGACCGCGGAAAAGAGAGTGAGCGAGACTCGAACCGGCCAGTTCTTGATCGGCGGTTTTCGGGCGGAAAGAAACCGAATTTCGAGCCGCAAATCCTGTTCTGGGTAGTTGAGCTCTCATATGTCACGTACAACTAAAAACCTCGGCGAGCATAAATACCCTGTCAGTGTGATGGAGTTTATGGATTGGCTGGAGCGGGTCACGTGAATAGTGTGACGTCGCCGCGTCGTCTGCTGCACAAGGCCGCTCAAGAAATAAAAAAAGAAAAAAAAGTTACGTTATTACATGGCACACAACTTAGCGCAAATTATTGTAAACTGTTCCTTTATTATGTCAAAAGCTGTTGTGGTGCCGTACATCGCCAAAATAATCAAAAACAGCGATTTTCTAACGTTCCCCATGCATTTGTGACCGGGGTTGGAACCATATAGAGTTATTATAATGTACGCTAGATGTTCAACTGGCGCTAGTGTCTATGCGACTTCTGTGACGCAAATTGAAGCAGACAGCAACCAGTCTACTTTTGCGGTGCTCGATCCTTTGCATTCCTATGGGAAAACGCGCGTGCATCTTGTCTATTCGCCGGAAAATAACACGGAACACTTTGGTTATTTGGGTCGTACCGAATTTCAGTCCCAAACGCGTGTTCCGCAGCAGGTGTGTAAAAACAAGCGACGATTCAAAGCAAAATTACAATAGAAACGAACATAGAGTGTGTTCAAGGCTCGCCAGCATTCCGGTGACGCATGTATATT